TAGAGAGAGTAAAAAGTTGTAAAAATGCTTTTTCGGATTTTGGAGTAAACCACTGTTATAAATATTCAAATTAGGTCAGGCATCAATGATTCTAGACATAGTTATCCAAATAATCCTTTTACGACAGTGAATACAATGAGGATTAGATTTTCAAAATACCCCCACGTTTTCATCTCTTGCATTTTATAATATACTAGCTGGCTTGCCCGGCTCCGCCGGGCCTGCCAGCTAGACCCGTGTACGTATGTTCCGAATAGAAATTTTTATCTCTGAACCGATTGGGACCGAACTTTGCACACATACACTTCGGGGCAGGGAGCGTGTCACAGCCCACTTTTCGTTATCGATCGATATCGATTTTATTGATTTTTTGCAAAATTCGAGCTAGAGGGCTGGGATTTGGCAGAGGGGGGTAATCGAGCATGCTGATCACCCCGAAGGGGTGATCAGCATGCTCGGGCTGTGACACGCTCCCTGCCCTGAAGTATATGTGTGCCAAGTTTGGTCCCGATCGGTTCAGAAATAAAAATTTGTATTCGGAACATACGTACATACATACAGACAGACAGACATACAGACAGACATACAGACAGACAGACAAACAGACATTCAGCTTTATATATAAGATAGTCATAAATGTTAGTTATTTCTGTTAATGCAAAGGAGACGGAAGGATGAGTCTTAAACAAGAAATTAATTTGATGCCGCCTAATTTAAGCAAGAGCACGCGATCCAAGCTTATGACTATGACTGGCTGAGGCCAAGAAATTGCTCAGAATTAGCTACAATACCGCTCACATTTTTTGGAAAATAGACGCGAATGTATGGACATGTCCATACATGTATGGACATGTCCGTACATGTCCGTACATGTCCATACATGTATGGACATGTCCATACCTCAGCGTCGCGTGGCCATATCTCGCTTCAGAGTGGACGAATTCTGAATCCAAAGCCACCATTCGATTCAGCTCGGCGCGGAGAATCTTCCTGTATATTGGAAGTGGGGGTACGATGTCTTCGATATTCCGTTTCCAGATTTTTCTAATTTGTGCTGCGGAGGTCCTTTCGCGAATATGTGAAGCAACGCCTACCCAACATAGAAGACTTTACTGAGCATTGTTCGATAATACTGTTCTTGTAGATTATTGTGCGCTAAAAAATAGGCTCAGACTTCTTTCCAAAGGAGATAGAAGCGTGCTGCTGGTGGTTGGTGAGTTTAAAAAAAATCACGCGTTTTTAAATTCTACTCGCCATAACTTCCTTCGGAATAAGTATATTTTGAATCCGAAAGCAGCGCCTTACTCAGCTCATCAAGGTGAATCTTACTATATACAGCATGTCCTTGATATTTCAATTTCAGTATTCTTGAATCTTTCTGAGGACGTCTTTTCGCGAAGGTGTAAAGCAGCGAGCATTGTCCCGGGTACATTCCAGCAAGGATCTTTCGATAGCACTTTTTTGTAGATTATGATGTGTTGAATAGTAGCCGCAGGTTTCTTTTCAAAGGCAATAGAACGGCTGGTGAATTGTGGAAAAATCTTGTCGTCCCAAATTCTACTCGCCATAGCCGCAGGATACGAAGCTATCTTGCTAAGCAGATGTGATTTTCGTAATCAGCAGGTCGGATAACCCTTATGAGCAAGTTCTTCGAGATGTTCGGGTAATTTCATTTTTTCTCGTTTTACGCTCTAAAGCTCGCCGATGGATTTTGGTCAAAATGTTAATGTTGATGCTCCTGAATTGTAAGGGAACTTCGCTTATAGAGATTTTCGAACACGCTCTTTACGAAAATCGTGGTCTTTGAGGATTACAGGGTCTTTTTGGTGAGATACGGTGAGGTGACTGTAACTGCATCACGAAAGTGCCTAACTTTGGCCGCACTTCTCGCGTATCTGTCAGAAACCTTGTTTGCTTGTCTCAGTCAAAGTTAGTTGATAGGAACTTTGCTATCGAATGGTGCATTACTCAGTCCAGTCTGTGAAATTCGCCGAGTTACGAGCCTACGAAAACACCTTCGCATGAATTTTGCCCAAAATGTAAAGATCGCATATTTCGTCGAAATTCCTCTTTGAGCGCTTGTACAACGCGCTGATCAAATCCTTCCACATTTTTAATGGATCTTATTGTGTTAGATTTGGTGTTTTGAGCTCTAGCCATGAAATAGCTTTGATATTTCGTGGCTAGAGCTTGTGTTTGAATTAAGCTGTTAGACTTGTGTTTGAATCTCTGTGTTCTTTTTAATGACGCACCTTGAGTGCATATAAATAAACCAGTGCGTCACCTCTGCTTCGCAGAGGCTCGCACTGGTCCTACTATCTGTACGCTTTACTCATTCCCGCATAATAATGACATTGGAACTCACCGCGTTATGTAAACTATCACGAATAATTTGTAAACAACTATTCATTCCGAAAGCTTTTTCATATGAGATCGGTAATTTCGCATGAACGAAACTTTTGCCATAAGAACAAATGCAGATTTGAATCGGTTTTTGGACTTTTCACAGCTTGGTATTCGCCATAAGATGCAGTAACCAACGTGGGCCACATCTCTGTGCAAAAATCTTCTCAAATAATCGGGTAAAACCTTGGCAAATTGAACATTTACGCAACCTATATATTTTTGCGCCGTTTTCGCGAAGTAATGAACTTTGGTTCAATTTTTTAGGCTAAAGTCCATGGCTTGCATACTAACTTGTGAAACTATCCTTGATTTTGCAAAAAGTCGTGCTACACGCTCAATTTTACTGGCCAAAAGCCAAGTGGATCCGTTAGAGGCGCATTTTTTGAGGGATCCACGCAACGGATCCGCTCGTGCTTTTGTATAGTGGAATCCCATGTAGGTAGCATGTGCTGTGCAAAATTTGGGCTCAGGAGGTTGGCTGGAACACGTCCTACGAATTTCGTGACAGACAGAGATTCAGACACACACACAGACAGACAAACGTAAACAACCCTTAGCCCGTTATTATAAGTTATGATAAATAAATAAATAAATATTCAGTTGAGCAGCTGAAGCAGATGCAAGCACCATATCCAGTACAGCGGGAGTCGTTCGACGAAGCGAAACATAATGGCCCGTAGTAAAGCTAGTTGAGTTCAGGTGAACTGAACTGAGGTCCTCACCCAAGGTTCGCTAAGGTAGACTGCCTATCACCAGCTTCCTATGTTGTAAGAATGCAAGATGAGATTTCAGCTGAACGTCCGTTTACCTGACGAGGTAGTCTACCTTACTTCAGTCAGTTCACATTCAGTTAGACTACCAATTGATGTAAATAGTGTGCCAATGATGATACGCAGAGAAACTTCTCGTAAGTTACTCCCGAGTAACTTACGATACACGTCAGTTCAACATGTCGAACACACTAAGTGAGGAGCCACAATGCAGGGTGACGATCTTTAACAAGATCTAACAAGTGCGGCATCTCCGTTGCTGATGCCAGTCATTTAGATGTGAATGTTCAGCGGACGCGTTTTGACTCGTATACTTGCATGAACGTGGCGCTCTCAATCATATCATCGTGGATGGGGGCAATATCAATCAATGGCTCGACTGAAGGCAAGCTAACTCGTCGAAGCCTCAACTGAAATTTTATTCAGTTGAGATCGAATGAAGCAGCTTTAACGGGCCAGTATCTGCAACCAGCGTCATACAAGCGCTCACGGAGGAATTTGGACGAGATATGCGATCTTTACATTTTGGGCAGAATTCATGAGGACGTTTTTGGGCAGAATTCATGAGGACGTGTTTTCGTAGGCTCGTAACTCGGCGAATTTCACAGACTGGAGCCTGAGTAATGCACCATTCGATAGCAAGTTCCTATTAACTTTGACTGAGAAAAGCAAGCAGGCAAGGTTTCTGACAGATACGCGAGAAGTGCGGCCAAAATTAGGCACTTTCGCGATGCAGTTACAGTCACCTCACCGTATCTCTCCAAAAAGACCCTGTAATCCTCAAAGACTACGATTTTCGTAAAGAGCGTGTTCGAAAATCTCTATAAGCGAAGTTCCCTTACAATTCAGGAGCATCAACATTAACATTTTGACCAAAATCCATCGGCGAGCTTTAGAGCGTAAAACGAGAAAAAATGAAATTACCCGAACATCTCGAAGAACTTGCTCATAAGGGTTATCCGACCTGCTGATTACGAAAATCACATCTGCTTAGCAAGATAGCTTCGTATCCTGCGGCTATGGCGAGTAGAATTTGGGACGACAAGATTTTTCCACAATTCACCAGCCGTTCTATTGCCTTTGAAAAGAAACCTGCGGCTACTATTCAACACATCATAATCTACAAAAAAGTGCTATCGAAAGATCCTTGCTGGAATGTACCCGGGACAATGCTCGCTGCTTTACACCTTCGCGAAAAGACGTCCTCAGAAAGATTCAAGAATACTGAAATTGAAATATCAAGGACATGCTGTATATAGTAAGATTCACCTTGATGAGCTGAGTAAGGCGCTGCTTTCGGATTCAAAATATACTTATTCCGAAGGAAGTTATGGCGAGTAGAATTTAAAAACGCGTGATTTTTTTTAAACTCACCAACCACCAGCAGCACGCTTCTATCTCCTTTGGAAAGAAGTCTGAGCCTATTTTTTAGCGCACAATAATCTACAAGAACAGTATTATCGAACAATGCTCAGTAAAGTCTTCTATGTTGGGTAGGCGTTGCTTCACATATTCGCGAAAGGACCTCCGCAGCACAAATTAGAAAAATCTGGAAACGGAATATCGAAGACATCGTACCCCCACTTCCAATATACAGGAAGATTCTCCGCGCCGAGCTGAATCGAATGGTGGCTTTGGATTCAGAATTCGTCCACTCTGAAGCGAGATATGGCCACGCGACGCTGAGGTATGGACATGTCCACACATGTACGGACATGTCCATACATGTGTGGACATGTCCATACATGTATGGACATGTCCATACATTCGCGTCTATTTTTCAAAAAATGTGAGCGGTATTGTAGAGCAAAGCATTTCCCATACTTGTGTTGCATGACCGATTTCAAATCTCCATTCATCAAGCGTTGAGATGCCAAATTTCCTGATTTCTTCAGACCAAGAAGAAGGAGCAGCCTGAACAATTATTAATCAGTTAACAAGACCTGAAATCTGAATCTGCAATACATACAGCAGCAGCATAATCACTACGATTAGGACGAGTATCTCCCCAAGCTAAAAACAGATTTTCGCCATAAGAAGCACCCTTCGTATGGACCATTTTGCATTTCGTTTCTATTGCCCACTTCACAGCCGTATTTTCCAGCGAACAGTTGTATTTCTGGAAATGTGCTTCGTATTGAGAGCTAAAGTTAGACTAAATCAAAATACCAACCAATTTATACATTCTGGTAGCCGGAGGTAAACTTCTGAATTTTCCTTTTGGGGTTTTGATTGTATATTCTCCTTTAGCCACCTCGGAGCGATATTTATTATGTATTTCTAATAGAGTTGCTCTTTGTTTGGCTGTCATACTTGTTCCACAATTTGGTATGTCACCGCCGTAACCTAAAACAGCTACGATTATGAAAAGAATCTTGAAAAAAATAAGCGGAGGCGATTAATTTGAAATTTTTGCAAACTTTTCAACGAAACAAATTTTTTTCGATGTTTGTCTTGTACGACTTTCGGGAATATCAGCTTTTTCTCAAAGGAAATTTTACAATCACACGGTGGTTTGAGATCCCTTATCTCAAGTCATAATATCAACTATAACATTCTCAGCAAGATTCTAGTGAGAATTTTAGTGAGACTGAGTGCCCGGCCATGTTCAGTTCAAATGTTTTCACTAACATCGTAGAAAATGTTTTGTCCCATAAAATGTAAAATTAGTGAACCACTTATTTTCAGGTTTTCAGATTCCACGAAAATTATCAATACGAAAAAGGGTAGGATGAATATATACTGTTGTTCGTTATCTGTTATATCACCAAGATTTGATGGCCCACCTCCTCCTGCATCAGTAGGTTTTCCTGGATGCTCTCCTCTTTCCGAACCTGTCAGTTTGTCCAGTCGTGGTTCAATAACGAAGAATATTCCTGAAAATGTCAATTACTAGTTGTCGGATCATATATTGTAGCTAAATGGTACTTTGGCTTCGAACACATGAGCCGGATCCACCTTAAACAGGGCTCGGCACGAGCTGGCACCGAAGAAATTTACGAAGTCCCGTTTGATCTTGAAAATTTTGTACGAAACCCGTTCGACTTGTTTTGAAGACCCGTCATTTTTAGATTACGTAAAAGTATGTAGTAGGGCTTTCATGCTGCTGATTTCATGAAACAACTTTTTACAGCTTTATGAGTTTTTTAAGTGGTTGAATCACATCTTGAGAAGGAAAAAGAGCCGATTTTTCGACTGCGGAGCAGACCGAGGAATTTTCAGATGGCTATAAAACGCTGAAAGGAAAACGTTATGAAAATGTTTCTTCTCTGTATATAAACTTTTACAGTGTAGATACATTTTATGTAAAAAAGTATGAAAACTTATGTGGGCAAAGTGTCGGTGCCGGCTCAGCTGGCACCCAGCTAGCACGGTGCCAGCTAATTCAGAAAAAAGGTCAGCACGGCTTTTATTCAAATATAATTTGGTGTCATACTATTGCGTTTTGGCTGAAAACAACGCCTTTGTTTGTTAGATGGACAGCATGCCGGCGGCATTCCTGCGGTTCTTCTCCGCCCCGGACCCCGGAAAAACGAAATCCCCTTTCTTTCTGCCTCAGAAACGATATCCAGCTTGACCCGGTGCCAGCTGTGCCGAGCCCTGACCTTAAAGAACAATAAACCGGTAGTTGAGTGGAAAATGATGGCTTTGAAACTTACCGCGCAATGCCGATCATCACGAATGAACTCTAAGCAACTGCTCATTTCAAAAGCATTTTCATGTAAAATCGGTAACTTTAGAGGGACGTAAGTTTCCTCCAAATATTGAATGCGAGTTTAAAATAGTTGCTGGAGTTATGATCTTTTGATAGTCGTCAGAAAAATGATGACGATCGTGAATTACATCCATATGCAAAAATCTTCTCTAATTCTTGGATAGGACCTTGATAAATCGATTATCTACGCAAACATTCTTTTTTGGCGCCAATCTTGCGTAAAAGTAGACTTTTTGCTCACTTTTCGGGTCGGAGGCATGGCTTGTGGATTTACTTGTTGAACAAACTCAGGACTTTGGAAAAAAGTCCAATTACAGGCCCACCTTGGTGCGCCAAAAGTCGCCTGGATCCGTTTGGCGCACAGTTTTCACAGGTTCCAGTTATCGGATCGGCTTGTGCTTTTGCACAATTTGTCTACACGCTGATAGGGTGCTATGACCGAAATTCTAGCTCAAGACCTTTGCTGGAGCTCGCTCTACGAATTTCGTGACAGACAGACGTACACACAGACACACAGACAAACAGACGTAAACAATCCTTAGCCCGTTATTATTAAGTCATAGATCATGTCCAGTGGCGGTTGCAGGATATTCGTTTGTGGGGGGGGGGGGGGGATTTCTTTCAAAAAACTTCACAATTTTCACACAAATTTTAGGGGTGCTTTTTGAAATTTTTGCATTGGGATGGAAAGAAGTTGAAATTGCCAATCCCAGCATGCTATCATGAAAACCCACATGGTAGCCCATTGTATTAGCTTGCTAGATGAGTTCTGTCCGGTTTTTATTGCCTTGGGTTTGAAAAGCTGTGTTTAGAGATCTTTGTCTTCAATGTGGCACTATTTGTATCACCAGGAAGCGTTTTTTTTGCTCATTCAACCATACAAAATTCCACCGAAATTTCCTGGTCTAACGAGTTTATAGGCTCAAGATCCCAAGTACCCGAGATACGCCTTATTGGTTGGTTTTGGTCTTTGGTTTTTGGCGGAAATTTCGTCCCAAGCTCTCACTAGGTCTCCTTTAGCAAATCTAATGGCCTGAGTTTGGAAGAGCAGACATTTTGCTTACGATAGAACAGGGGGAGAATTCGTGGATTCAAGAATGGTTCAAGAAACGATTCGGAAGACCAAAAATTCTTTGTTCATAACTGGTAAATATGACGTTTGATGGACTGCGAAGAAACCATTTTTTGGTCTATATCATTCCACCTTTCGAAGATATTCGTCTTCTCCGTACTTTTTTGTCCCAGTGTGTCTGTTCTCGACTTCACTTGTAAAACATGATCAAACTTGAAAGCTTATTGAATGCAGTCGCTGTGGCGACGAGAATCGCAATTTTTCGAAATTCTCAAAAAAGCATCAAAAGCAAACTTTTAAAGGCCATGGCACTTTCTTGGGTCAAAGCAAACACTATGGACGCTGTTGAGAGTTTTTAGTATGACTAGACACCGATTTACAGAGGAAAGAAGAAATTGCATTGTGTAAAAACCATTATTCGGACCTTGAAAAAAAAAAATGATGTTTGCCTTCTAGCTCGCCCATCCTCAATCCCACAAATACTCTTTTGCGTGAGCCTGAAAGAAAAAGACTGATCTTCAAAACGCATTCTATTTGATTAGCCAAAAGGAGACCTGGTGAAAGTTTGGGACCAAAAACCAGCGCGCGCAAATCGAAGAATTTTTGGTAAAGAATTCAAAGAAAATAAATGATTTTACCAAAACAGAGGCAAGTATCCAAAAAATGATTAAAAAGATCTTATACAAAATTCTTTTTCTCTCTCAGGTGAGGACAGAACCTTCTGATTTCATTTGGTCCTTGCAAAGTTATAATACAGGGTGTCCCAAAAGTATGTATCGAACGTTTGATCGTTAATATCTCTCTTCCCAAGAAGTCTTTTGCCTTGCTTCAAGTACCATTTTGTAGAGCTAGCTTCAACTTAGATTTGCATTATAGAACGAATCACTCATTCCTCTTCATTAGTGTAGGATTACGGTAGAAACTTCAAAGAGGGTTTTAAGCAATGAAAGGCCATATTTTGCCTTAGAAAGGAAATAAAACAGCCTGAAAGTTTTCACACTAGGCTAATTAGAGTTGCTGATTATAACTGTAAAGTTCCCAACTTATTATGATGCTTCATTGAGGAGTTATGCCAGGTAAGAGGTAGCGGCCATTTTTTCAATGTTCCTAAAAAGTGCGATTACACCGTTTAGAAAGCTTTGTAATCTTGTGAATAGTTGAGTATTGAACTCAGCATCCATAAAAACCCTATTACACAAGTTTTCACAATTTTTTGAAGAATTTTGGAACTGCAGCTTTTTCCACATTGACACCATATGTTTCAAGTTTCTACCGTAATCCTACAGTAATGAAGAGAGATGGGTGATTCGCTCCATACTATAAATCTAAGTTGAAGCCAGCTCTACAAAATGGTACTTGAAGCAAGGCAAAAGACTTCTTGGGAAGAGAGATATTAACGATCAAACGTTCGATACATACTTTTGGGACACCCTGTATTTGTGTCACACTTCATGTGACCACCCTGTATATCACGCGATTTCATCGTCCCGGCTCTAAGGTTGGGACAAAATCGGTTTCGAGCAAGAATACCTTTTTTTCTCGATTTTCATATTGTAAGGACTTCAGGACTTAAAGGCAGCAGCTCGGCAGATTTTCGACTTGAAGTTTTTTTGCTTACCTGAGGTAATTCGAGGCGCTGATTCCAGAAATCCACCTTGAAGAGCGCGATAATGGCAAAAACCACCATTTTCCAAGGCCTTCTATTTTGAACTTGGACGAGTGGAGCATCTCCCGCCATGGTTAGAGAGGCAGAATCGTTCCGGGACCCTCGCAGTTACAACATTGCGGCATGGCTTCTCTGACTTGTCAGAGAGAATCGCAACCTCGTCCGCGCGTACTAGAATGGCTTGCACGTAACGGGTTAGGGGCAGTTTTCTAGGCCTGCTCTGTTCTCATGTTTGAGGTGCAAGCAACCTCCCATGTCAAAATTTCCGGATGTTCGGTTTTGGCGAGCTGCTGCCTTTAACCACAATGTCTGAGTTAGCGTTGACTTGCAATGGGTTGCAGGGCTTTGCGCGGACTATCACGAAGCCTGCGGGTCCCGCGCGATAGCATGCAACCCGATGGTGGTCCATCAAGTACGGTAGCGGAGGACGGCTTGGGGACGAATATCTCAGCCGCGAGTGTGTTATCTGCAGTGCCATTTGGGCAGTGTCTTAGAGCTGCATGCATTAACATCCCCGCCGGGAAGGGGATCGCAGCTTGAATGAAAGGTTTATATATTGAAGCTTCAGATATTTGGATTTCACGCTATCTACCTATCCGTAAAGCTATACAAGCCGCATATTCCAGCTTTTTGTATGATCCCCTAATGATCCCCCGCGGCCGACCATCTTTTCTTCAAAGTCATTTTTCTTCTTTCGAAGTCAACGAAAACACAGAGGTGCACCGATCGTCTAAATTAACAGTGCCAAGCATGTTGCTGATAAGAACAAATGATGTGGAATCATGATAACTGCGATAAACCACAAGTCGAAAGTTGGGCTTTGTCGAAACCTTTCACTTTTCAAATCTCATCTTTTCTTATCGCAACGTGTTTAGCACTGTTGTCTAGATGTTCAATACAACATTGGAAGGATTTCGTTGACTTGATAAAAAAGTGATTTTGAAGAAAAGACGACTGGCCTCAGATACAAAAGGCGAATATGTAATGGGCCTATTACGATGTTTCAATGATATGCAGCTTGCTTTTCTATTAGCTTGGAAACGCTTTAGTCAGAGTACTGCGCTGAGCTCGAAAAAAGATATCGTTATCGCTGCTTTTATCTGTAGCGGAGAGCATACATCAAAAAGCTAACGATAAGTCCATTCTCTAGCGATGTCTAGCAGTGTGCTGCCGATCATCATAACTTATAATAACGAGCTAAGGTTGTTTACGTGTTTTTATGTGTGCTTGTATGACTGTCTCTAACGAAATTCATAGAGCGAGTTCCAGTCAAGGTCCTGAGCCCAAATTTTGCGCAGCGTATGCTACCAGCGTAAAACTCCACCATAGAAAAGCACGAGCGAATTTGTTGGGTGGGTCCTCAGAATTTGCGCGTAGAGGATTCTACTTGACTTCTGGTCCGCAAAATTGGGTCGTATCAACTCTTTCTGCAAAGTCATGGATATGTTTTGCATGTTGATGTGCGAGCCATGGACTATAGACCAAAAAGTGACCAAAGGTCTATTATTTTACGAAAACGACGCCAAAAAGAAATAATTGCGTAAATGGTCAATCCGCCGTGGTTTTACCCCGAGCATTTAAGAAGATTTTTGCATAAAGATTTAGTTCGCGGTAATTATTTCCCTTATGGCGATTACCAAAACCAAAAGAAGTTTTAAAAACCTATTCAATTTGCATTTGTTCTTCTGCGAAAAGTTCCAACCATGCGAAATCACCGATCTCACATAAAAAAGCTTTTGGAATGAGCATTTGTTTACATTTTATTCATGATGGTCTTCATTGCGCGGTGAGTTTCAAAGCCATCATTGGGCGAAAGTGAGTAAGGCATATAGAGTAGCAATGCGAGCCTCTGCGAAGCAAAAGTGACGTACTGGTGGTTAGATAGCCGGCTCCAAAACCATGGGGATTTCGTACTCTGCTAATCGGGATCATACTGGGGGACATCGTCCTGTCATTGAAAATCATTAAAAACCACGGGACACTCGCGCCGGCGCAAAGCCGGAGCGAGGTGTCGCGAGAGTTCGCCGTTAGAGCTGTGACACTCACACTGAGATAGCCCATAGGGTTTGATGAGAAGGGTACGATCAAAACTGGAGGGCCAGCTCAGGAGTGGTTTTCAGTAACAATTGCAGTTTCAACTCTCAATTGCTGATTTAGTAGCAACTCCTACTATCTCCAACACAAAATTTCAAACTCCCAAATTTTTCCTGAACCGCAAGAGAGGAGAAGAACATAACAAACTCACCGACAGAGACTATAAGTGCCACGATGAGTACTATGATGAATGTTAAGAAGACGGATTTGGCCGGGAACTTATACGCATTTCCGACTTCGGCATCGTTGCTGGATCCTAGGAGAGGTTCTTCTGCTCCTTGTGAACCACTCATGTTTCAAAATTAAGAATAAACCATGCTTCAACTAGTGGCCCTTTTATATGCTCAAATTCTGATAACGGACGGATAAATCTCAGACTCTTCTAATTTTCATGAGTGAAAGTGTGAGCGGGTGAAATCACAAAAACTATTAATCTGGCCCAAGATACAGTTTAGAAAGTTCAAAACATACGACAGAGCTTCAAACATCGCATGGCTTATAAGGTTGACATATGAAGAGTGAGTGAAAATTGTCATGGCTGCTGCGGTTTTCGATGCGCCAATGTTTACGCCAGTGGCTTTACGATGATCTTTTATAGCGCCATGCAAGTTTTGGAATAGCAAGAAATCCATCGCAATTTTATAAACCCATTCTGCGTGATCTTGCATTCCCAATTTTTCACAGTGGAACTCAGTATTGGCCTGAGAATATGAAATTTGACAGTTAAACTCGATATTAATTTCAGAATATGAACCAGTGGTGTCCGAGAAGATTTTTCGGGAGAGCGAAGTGACACGAATTTTTTCTGAAGGAGTGTGGTGTTGTTCACGCCCTCAGAAAATTTTTGAGGAGTATTCCAAATATTTCTGGGTCTATAACTCCGAAATTAGATAGAAAGAGGAACGACTTAGCCACACCGAGCTAAAACGGCTGAAATTCCGAAAAAATTTCCAAAGATTTATGAGAACAAGACAACTGCGCAATTTTACACCTTATGAAGGCTACTTTCAAAATTTTTGCCCGGGGGGGGGGAGGGGAGAGTGGGAGAAGGCGTGTGCACGCAGCTAGTTGTTAAATCCTCAACTTAAAATTTCGAAGCGTTTTTCAAGTCAGAAAAGTAAACGGACAACTGCAACAAAATGGTCCAGAATTACTTAAATGGTTCAGCTTAGAATGTAAAGGTATTTTAAGGAATGGATACCTTTGCACTTATATCCAACAAGCTCTATTTGAGCGCTGGAGCGACAATAACCTTTTATTTCACCCCAATTCTGCGCGCATTGTCTGCAGAAAACATTCATAAGCAGATGAAAATAGATTTGAAATCAACGTTAAAAACGCTACATTATGCGTACTGAGGTACCTAGATTTTATTTGGAAAAGCCGCTTCAAGCAAGAACTCTTTCTTTGTGAATTGTGACTCGATGGAACAATCGCCTGAATTTTGACGAATAAAAGCTCAAAAAAGCAAGTACAATAATTTGATTTTTCAACGTTAATGCAATTGATTTGCCACCACAGATATGTGTATGACTAATCTTTATATGCGCGTTTTCCTGTTACAGATTTTGCTTCAAAGACCATTTGGACTACCAGAAGGCGTCCAGAATGTGGAGCATATCTAGGAGATCTCATTTGAAAATTTATTTGTTTTTATCGATTTGCTGAGTGAAGCCTATCAGAAAAGGGTACCAACAATTGCACACCAAACTTAAGACTCAAGCAACTCTTGTTTTTTCTGTCAATCAGTTCAGTAACTGATTGAACCAATTTTTTGGTTCAATCAGTTATTGAAAGGATAACAGGAGCTTGTACTACTGAGTCGCAGCTATCAACAGAGAAAATATGTTTCTCATTGTTTCTCATCACAAAATGTGATGTTGAGATACTGTGATATGATGACTTGTGTATGGCTAACAATAATTTCTTTGAGGATGTTTAATCAAAGTAAATCTGAACCAATATCTCCATGCTGCTGCCTACACGTCACTTTTTTACTGAATTTCCTATCATCTACAGATTTTTACAATTACAAATCTTGTAAATTCTTAAAAAATTCATTTCTCATCAAATAAATACACTATTTACTTTAAATAATACTGAGGATTCTCGGAGATGGCGACTAGACTGGTGGCGCATAATTTGGCTGTGAGTAGACCGGTGTTTGGTAAATCTGATGAGGTTGTCCATGTATGGGCGGTGGAGGTGGAGGTGGAGGCAGAGGACGTTTTGGCGCACAACATACACATTTCATATTGGTGTAGGCTGGAGGGTGTTGGTATTCCGTCTGAAACCCAAAAATGGTAAATCTACCTAAAACGTTGGTCCAGTTACCGTAACCCACCTCGTGCACTCTGATTGGCTCGTCTATGTCGGGATGCTCCTCATCCCGCTCGACGTGGCGCTTGTACCTCCGCTAAAATAGAAAGAAAAAATTCTTTACTCAGTTATGTATGGTCAGGAGAAATTACATGGTCCCGGTCATCATCGTCGTGATGCTCCTCGCTGCTTCGTTCACGTTCTCGCCTCCTATCATGGGTTTCAAAATCATCACTCAATGCCAAAAATCCGACAAATTGCTTCTGAATGCATTTTGTAAACTTTTCATTTCACACAGATGAGAGCATCAAAAAAATTAGAAGCAATAGAAATGACATCGTGTTACGTCCAGGGTACGTCATTAAATGGTATGCATATCCAACACATTCAATATCAGTACCCTAGACGTAAACCGAGCAAAGAAAAGGCAAGAAGAGAGGGAAATGAAGGGCATTGAAGCAGAAAAGAGGCGAGGCATACGTTCTCTAGATTTTTATCCCGTCTTGCAGCATGCTGGCAACAAATATTGCACGAATCCTCATCATAGCTTGCGATTACAGAACACCTAAAGAAGTACACGATCGCGACATCCGCACGGCTTTCGCAGAAGTAGCGGAAAGTGACTAACTTTACTACCTGACTCTATGTGCTCGATTAAGACGATCACGATCCCGATGCCGTTTGGACGGCACAACCAACAATACCGACGCATCCAGGTCGCATACTTCTCCTTAGAAATTTACCTGGGTTGAGTAAATCTTGTGGGAGTGTAACTTACGGTCTATCAAAGGTGGTGGAGGAGGACGAATATACTGGTAGCCGACATATGAGTTGTAGCTTGGAGGAGGTGGTGGAGGTGGTGGAGGAACATAATTCTGACAGGGAGGTTCACTGCACTGGTTGGGGTAGTAATTACCTTCAGCGGTAGCGTTTTTTACCTAAATCATTTTTGATAAGAAAATTTGATACAGTTTGAGGGATGAATATGAAAAAATCATCGAAAAAAGTCAGATTTTTAAGGCAAACAGAAACTTGCACCAGAAAATAAATTCAGAAGAAATGCCCAACAAAATACCAACCTCATCAGCGATACAGCCAACCACGAGTACGACAGCTAACAGAAGCAGCTGTTGCATGTCGGAATCAGACTGTCCTTTTTCCCTATTCTGTAGCTTTTTATACCGTCGAGAAATGGCAGAGAGCATGTGAAGTAATGAGGCTTCAGAGAAAATTTCGAAAAGAGCAAAGCATCGGAGGAGACGAGACAGACGGAGCAGAATGATGGCAAGATCTCATCCGCAGATAACAGACAGTCTCAATGCTTTTGATGAGGAAAAGCATGACCTGGACAAGATGATGGCGTGTGTGGGCTTTTGTGAAAAAACAATCAACTGCTGACTAAATGGTAGTAGATTTTACGTTCAGAAAAATCTTAACATACTAATCTGCCTCAAAAGCTACAATCGTAACCCTCTTTTAAAGCAAAAATTTATTTCTCATAACGCTGGCTCTAATCCAACTTCAGCTTTACTATTTTCCTAAGATTCTATGTTTCTGAAAGAAAAAGGTAGCACTAATTTTCAAAGAAAAAAAAGGCGAAATACTTTTGTATAACCTGCTGAAATTCTATTTCCACATTAAAGTCGCTGGAAAGCGAAAAAAAAAATTAACCTTGCCTTGATTGTGTTTTACGACTTACTTTTTCAAAATGGTGGCTAGTGGAATGTATAGAATGGTGATGAAGATTCTCGAGTTTCGCAATCGACATCTTAATTCTCATTTGCCTCTAATAAAATCCCTGGTATGCACAGATAAACATTTCGTTGCACAAAAATATTACTATATTTGTTACAAAAATAAAATACAGATTAAAACATATTAGAGCGCGTTTTATATACTTTCTAATACAAGACATATGAACCATTCTAACATGAGCGACCCTCTTCAGACATAAAGAAGGTAATGAGAAATCCAAAAACGGAATAAAAAAATAATCTTCTAGTCGAATGTTTAAGCGTTTAAAATTTACGCATAACAAGCCTCTTGGGTAATGCCGTCCCCAAATATGAGCAAGCGCCATTCTCCACTCCTGCCGTTGTAAACTGCCTTCATATCCAAACCTAGCTATCTCGGTTCAACAGAAGTTAAAGCGTGTCCTCTTTCTCATAAATTCTCTCAACCCTCTCTGTCAGACTTGAATTATCAAATCTGTATCTCCGCTACTTGGTAGCTTCGAAGATTCCCATAGAATCGCTATCAGATAAGACTTGGAATGAAAACATTGCAGGTTTTCGCAACGCTGCTCGTCTGCGATTGATTGCGATGCTATATTAGTGAGAAAAATCTTGCAAAAAGAAACTGCGGTGATTATTGGGTAGGAGAAAGCTGGACAATGCAAATGTAAGAATGGAACAAGGGCTTGTAAAGAGTGTTGCAACAAAGTTTCTGAATAAGTTCGTATTATTCTTAATCCTTCTACGTAATCACATAAATTTATATCGCAGATAAAAAAAATCTGCCTTGTCAGAAAAAATCCTGCATTTTTCAACACTTTCCAAAGATAAAGTTTCTGTTTAGTATACGACGACACATGTTGATCAACAAGAAACTCGAAAATGGTTTTATAATTCGATCGTTGGGATTACTGAAATTTCCATCAAAATTCAGCTCTAGCTTAGTTTTGGTTCCATGACCTGCTTCAAATATTCGTGCCATCTCTACGAACAAGTATGATTTTCAAATTTTTCATTCGAATTTTTGATTTTGGTCTCAAAATGTTCAATGCGTTCGATGTTTTAAATTTCTATCCATATTATGTTATGTAAATCATATAGTAACCGAGACATTGCCAAATGTTCTTTAGGAAATCCATAAGGAGTTTTGTGAAAGAATTCTTCATCACCTAATAGATGATGGAGATAGGTGAACTTTGAGTGGTACATAGTGAGACTGCAGGAAAATTATTCTGATGTATTTTTAGATGTGGGATCCTACAACAATGCTCCAATGCGGTACCTTCAAATCACCGATTTATTTTTCAAATTGTCATTCACAGACTCAAATGCTGCAAGTTTCAACCCAATGTTGCATCTCGCTGACGCATTCCATCGCCTCCGTTGCCAGCGCCGATATCTCGAAGTTTTCATCTACAGTATAAAAGTGAGACAGCTAATGTTCTCAAACAGATCAACATGCAGCGTCTTATATTCTTCATTCTTGTAGCTGTATGGAGTGCTGATTCTCATGAGGTGGGTTGGGGTCGATTTTTTTAAATTGAAGATAGGGTAAGGGCTATCACTTCAGGGGGCTGCGAAGGAAGCTGGGCACTACTACCAAACTACGCCAGAACAGATATATGGGTGATTTTTGAGCACTTTATGTTTAAAAACTTTGAGTGACAGTTTCTGTTTTTCAAATATTTTGTTAGATACGAACAGCCACAGTATCCTCCACAAGCTTACCAACAACCATTTTATCAGCCTCACATGATGATGCCACCATTTGCACTGCCAACCTACGACGGTGCGTTTTAGCGCCCAGCAATTTTGAGGCTTTTTTTGCAATTAACAAATTTTGTTATTTTTCAGTGGCCTACTGCTCTGTCCATGCATCCTTCCCACTCGTCGGAGCACGAGGTACCTCTTAAAATTTTATGGTATTTATTTCCATATTGAGAAAATTTTCTGCTCGAGACGACAGCTGGAGTTCAAGATGAAATCAATGATCGGCGAAATCTTTTGATTTGAATCATCGACAATCCAACTGGACTACCGCTGCTTCCCAAACCGTCTCGTTTCAACCTCACCGCTCCTCTGATTTTTACATTTCAAAAAAAAGTGCCCATACTTCAGATGATGACCGTCGCCGGGGACACCGACTTCGAAAATTCGAACGACAGTCCTGTCGCTACTCGGCTGTCTTCTCATGGGAAGCTTGCAACACCTGCTGTAAGATTGCCAGTAGGACAAATGGCAATACAAATATGGTAAAACTCTTCTACAAATCAGAATCCTGCACAAAAAAAAACAAAAATTTCCTGTTATAGAATGAGATCGTAGGAGCACTGTTCGTCTTTGATCCAGACATGGACTTCCGTCGTCATGATGATGATCCAGAGGTGATTCATTTGCATGAAAAGAGTTTAACCTACAAAAAATGAACTTCTTTTTTAGAACAACAAGAACAAGGCCGTGCAGTGCGTCTGCTGTGCACCGAAGAGGTTCTAACCCTTTATCATATACTCTACAGTTAGAATAGAGTAAGAGTGAATGAATAAAGGAATAATGAAAAAAGTTTACGAATAAAGGTGTATCGTTCAGAGTTGGATCAATACAGAACTACTAAGTCAAGTTAATCATTTTATTTTTTTTTATTTTACAATATACTCGAGAGGCAGATAAAAAGTAAAATGAAAGAAAAACACTGAATGAACCTGATAACCAGTCCTATCAGGAAAATGAGTGTTAGGTGTGGGAGGAAGATTTTCAAAAAATGAAACACAACAAAGCCATCCATCCATGTACAAATCTCGCAAACAATGTCGAAAGACTTCTCTTACTTAAATGCGAATTTTCGTGCTTTTTCCCGAAAATGAGAATTGTACACCATTCCTAAAAATACTTACTAAATCTATGAACCGTAAAGTAGAAAGTGTTTGTAATTTGCCCAGGGTCAGTGACATTTCCATCTTCGGCCACGGTATCCCGCAGGTGGTTGTACTCAACAATTTGTTCTTTGCGAGTTTTACTACATCATGAAGAACCACTGCTCACCTTGAGTTTAGAACAAAGTAAACGGCAGTGTAAACAAAAACGGTGTTATTGCTAAAGGCAGCGTCTAGGCAAAATGGGCCTATGGGGACCTCACTTGGAGGGTAGTCTTGGACCCCTAACCAAAACACTGCCCAAGCGGCAGCTCATATGTGAGCTCACAGTTGAGATATTCGCCTCCAAACTGGACCCCGGGATCGTCGCATGGATTCATGGCGCGAGCCGCGTGGTCCTCGCGCGAAACTAATGTGTCGCGCGATGAATCCGTGCGAATACGATCCCGGGTCAGTTTGGAGGCGAATATCTCAATTGTGAGCTCACCATTTGAGCTGCCGCTTAGGCATTGTCTTAGTTAGGAACCCAAAATTACTTCCAACATCGGAACCCCCTACGTCCAGATTTGCCTGGACGCTGCCTTCAATGAAAGTGTAGTACACAACTGAGTACCCCCTTCTGCACGACATATTAACTCATACCTCAATCGAAGCACGAGAAGAAGAAAGCAACATGTTCCACTCAACCTCCCCTGCAAGTAACACTTTATTCATTCTTACACTTCATTTGAAGAAACACGAGACCAATGACGGACATCAACAACAAATAGGAGAAGCAAAGATATTTGAAACTCTTGCACACCTTCATTAAGTGTAGATAACGACAAGATAACGCCGAAAACATGACAAACTTCAAAAGAGAAACAAACAATCAGTTATTGACACTCTGGCCACATCTGAGGAAAAATACATGATACAGTTCTTTTTTACACAATATTGTTATCGATTTACAACCATCAGTAGTAACCGGTCTGAGGGGGGACTCCGTAGCCAGGCATAGCTGGAGGAGGTGGAGCGGCAAAATTCGATGTAGTACCCGAGAGCTGATCGCTCGGCTTGGGTATGAGGATGTTCCTGGCTACCAAAGCATCCGGGAAAAGTTCATGATATGACGTTACGGGAACATAATTTGCTGTGATGACCTAAAATTCAATGTTATGAGCGTAGCGCCAACAATCCACTTACCAACGCTTACCTTTCCGCTAAACCATCGTCCATGAAGAGCTGAAACGCTCTTGTGAGCAGCAGACACAGATGGGCATTTCACGTAAACATTGCCTTGTGGACTGGCGGTATCTACGTACACATGAAGTGCACCACCATTCTTATAACATTCTTCTATGACATCCTAAACAGAAACATTGTACAAAAAGATCACAATCGTAAAAGCAAACTCACGTCTCGAACTTCTGTCGCCCATGTAGGTCGAGTCTCAGTCCGTGGATCAAACATATTCGAAAGCATGAAGCATTGGGTAGCTATTGCTGGGATTGTCGGATCTGCAGATTGCTGCTGCAAGGCTTGCTGAGCAGATGGAGGGAGTTCAATTCCAGTACCTGTAACATTAACAAATCCACCATGACGCTTCACAGTAGACAGAAACTTTACCTCTACCTTGGGCAAGTTTGGCCATAAGTTGAATACGACCACCTTGACCAAGAGCTAGACCTTGTTTCTCGTCGGCTACATCATCCAAGCTCCGCTGCCGTATCGACTCTTCATCCTAAAGCACATATATTACATGTGAAACAAAAAAGGTAAGGTCAACCTACGTCGTCAACAACCGAGACTTTGATCGGTTTACCAGCAATCTCGAATCCATTCAGCTGCTCCATAGCTTTCGTGGCATCTTCAGTCAATTTGAACTAAAAATCGAGATTACTGGCTCATGAAGGGTAATGGGCGAGAAGAGACAGGAAAGTAAGCAACAACAGAACACTTTAGACTCACCGTAACAAAGCCGTAACCCATACTGTTACCAGCTGGATCTTTGACAACCTCTATCTTTTCCACACGTCCGAATGCATCAAATATGCCATCCAGCATACTCTCAGTGATATTAGGATGGAGTTGTGATACGTGAAGTTTACAAGGACCCTAAATATGACCGAAGTCAAAAACAAAATGCTGGGTGTATGTCAAGAGGCGCGATTCTTGTTGCCAGATGGACACCAAATAGTACATAATAGGTGTTTATAACCTTCCAAAAGTCTAAGTTTTTAAAGGAAATATATTAGATAGTTGCAAGGAGATTTCTCAATCTTATTACCTTGAAATAAATTCAAAACAGCAATTTTAAAGGTCAAAAACCTATGAAAATGCAGTTAAGGACAAATTCCTAAATATTTCGGCCCATTTTTCAGCAAAACATTCCAAACTTAGCAAGTGGTAATCTCAGATAGATAGTGAGCTAATGCACTTTATCTGGTATTTTTTGAAGACTCGCATAGCACTGAACTGGAGTTTTGAGTTGGTGACAGCTGCGAAAATCGCGCCTCTTGACCGTCTCCCCAAAATGCTCAGTAGAATCTTTAGAATGAGAAATTACCTTGGATGGAGCAGGACCAAAGCCGAGACTTGTACCGATAGTTGCGTTTGCTGCACGATTTCTTTCAGCGCATGTGCGTTGAATGACAAGAGGAGCTCCTGAAATGAGAAATATCACTATAATTTTTTCCCCTAAAAATAAAATAACCAACATACCTAGAAGTTTCTGTCCACTCAAAGCCAGCCCAAGCGGTACACTTTCCTCTTCCCAAAATTCAACGTAGGCAATTCCTTTCGAACGTCCCGTTCTCGAATCGGTGATAATACGGACGTCACGTACGCTGCCTACAGCACTGAAGAATTCTTCTAGATCACGTGGACGCGTTTGACGTGCAATCTAAAAAAGTAGAAAGAAATATGAACAACTGCTGGTCTATATTTCAAGCCTGAAAAAATTTTTTTACCTGCAAAATGAATAATGTTCTCTGATCCCTTTCTTCAGCAGTCATATCTAGTTTAGCACCGCGTGGTGGTGATGAACGCGCAGTGAAAGGCATCACATCACGACGTTCTGGTCCTGGTAGACGATCTGGAACAAAGGAGTTCATAAAAGCTTCACATCTGACATTGATTACAATTCATCGAACACTTACTTCTCGGAGGTGGTGATCTTCTCATAGGCGAGCGTCTGTCACGATGATCTATGACACGAGGACGTGATCGCGAACGACGACGACGATCGCGATCCCGAGAGGAGCGACGGCGATCGCGCGAACGAGACCTAAAAAAGAAAACATGGGCCTCTCGACTAAGAATGAGTCTTGAGATAAGCTTACCTCGAGCGCCTGCGATCCCTAGACCTGCTTCTTCTTCGATCCCGATCCCTGCTTCGACTGCGTCTACGATCTCGCGATTTCGAACTGCTGTGGCGATGACGACGTTCACGGCTCGAACTACGTTTCCTGTCGCGACTAGAACTGCGCTTACGCTTCTTACGATCACGGCTGCGAGACCTAGAAGATATTGGTTACGTGTACTGTAAGTGGCGTTAGCTGTTCCTGAAGAGATTCTGAGTCCATAATGATCAATCTGTGAATCTGTCGTAAAGATCCTCGTTCCATGGGGTTTTCCATGACGGCTTGTGCTTCGCGCCAAGAGCCTGCAACAATGGCCCGAGCCGAGCGTTCGCCCCTCAGATTTTAATTCGTCTCAAAATTCTTGCATTAGCAGCTCATTAGTTGTTCACTCAGCATTTAATTCTGAATATCTAAGTAAACAATTTAGATGCTCAACGCACCGTCTTGATGAGTCCGAACTAATCACAGCTTTACAAAGAAAGAAGTATTTCATATTTTGATAATTTGCTGGATGTTAACCAGACCGGCAAGCCATGTGTGATTGTTAATAACCGTCTCTCGGCAACCTGACCGCCTGTGATACAAATTAACTTACCTGTACAAGCCCAAGAAAACTTTTCCCACTGCGCACCTAACAATTACACACAACCTAAACACTTTTTACAATAACTGATGGCAGCAAAATCTCCTCGAGAAAAATTACTCACTCTACTTTCCCAGTAAAGAACTAATGAACTGGTCAATTTGAGATCGCAAACGCTCAGCTCGTTTCTATGGCCGCATTGCATGGTCACGACGCATACCTTTTCCATATGAAGAAAGCGTGAGGGATCGACTTTCGTTAACGCACGTAGGCCGAGCACAATTCCAAGCGGGACTCAATCGCAATATCGTCTACAACGACGGGCAAGACTTAGTAAAATATAATTGAAGCAAATTTTCTTATATTCCAGGGCATAACGCTGCTATAAGCTCTTAGACATTATAAATCTACTGCGATATTTCGAACTTCCATGCCTAAATTATAAAACCAGCTCTTTTTACATTTTGTGATGAGCTCAATGTAGGCTCTGACGGAAAAAGAAAGAGCAGTCTGATATGAAAACGTAAATATTCTCCAAACAGAGCAAAAACCTCGACTTTTTTCATAATTCGAAATTGCCTCCAATAATCGCAATTAATTTCATTTTAAAACAATACTTTGATGTAAACAAGAGAAAGTAAGTAGTAGTTCATCAGTGATTAGTCTGGCGAGCGATTTGCTAGGCATTTCTCTTTTTTTGATTTTGCAAGCGGTATTTTTTGCGTTGTTTAACCCCTGCCCTAAATATGCTTCCTAATAAAACCTACTCTAAAAAATAAAATAAAAAGGCTGGAGCTCCTTCTTACCGTGATCGGCTACGTTTGTCCTTCTTTTTCTTCGCAGAGCCATTTTCCTTCTCTTTATCTTTGTCTTTGTCCTTGTCTTTGTCATTGACAGGTGTGTCCTTCGTTGTATCCTGAAAACAGAAAATCGCTAAAACTGTTTAGTTTTTTTTAGAATAAAAATGATTTTATGTGTGATACTTTTGTGGAAAAAATGATTTCATCCAAATTTCAGTGAAAAAAGTTTGGGATGGAGTGTTGGCTTGTCTTATTGGTAAACAATTTCGGACAATAGCAAACACATTAAAAAGATTTACTTTCATTCTTTCAAGCGCGCGATCACAAGCAAACTGCGGTGAGAGAAAAGATGCCATTTTGACCAAAAGTAGCGGCAAACTCAAGCCACTTTCTTACAATTCTGTTTTTCGAAAAGAATAATATAAACAACTGATATATCTGGACAAGTTTCTCATAAACCCGAACTTACCCCTGTCGTTTTTCCCTCTAAAGCATTTTCGAGCATTGCATCGACATCGAGCCCAGCATCGTCCGCCATGGTTGAGAACTGAATTTCGTTGAAGAGAACTGAAGAAGAGCTATGTCCCGATGTCCAAGATACGTCCACTCAACGTCAATGGCAGCAGAAGTTTTCGACGCGCACTCAACGAAAATTGGCAAGCGGTGACAGGTCGATGCTGTCGATCGATGCCACGCCCACCTCACGGAAATTTTCTTTTCCTGCAGCTATTGAGCGGTGGATTTCTAATTACTTGAGTGTAATTGTACTAGCGTTACGATCCTATTCAAAAGAAGCGAGATTGAGAGACTTTTCTTTGTCATGGTAGATTCCAAACATTCCGTAAACAAAAAACGAAAACCAATTCTTCGTAAGTACTGCAAGTAGCCTGATGGTTCCCTCTAGTAACACGTCTGCACATTTACGCCTTTGAATCTATGAACTACAAATTCTTGAAGCAGTCCCGCCCCCTCAAGGCAAAATGGTACTGGAAGTCAGAAATTAGAGAAAAGTAGGCGGGGCCAAAAGTTGCAGTTGATTTTCGCAAAATTTCTTCGCGTTGAGAACCTTCAGCTGATCCTTGCGGCGTCCTTTAATGATGAAGTTGGTGTTTTTCATAGCGAAGGCGATTAAAATGTACTCATGATTGATATGGTGACGATGATGGCTCCTTCCCCAACATAGCTCAGTCTCCATAACAGAATCGACCTCGTGAGTTGTTTATTGGTGCTTTTTCTTGTGACTTCGTCTATATTTTCGTAGCTGCTGAATCTAACTTGCTTGACTTGAGTGGAAATCTTTTCCTTAATTCTGAAGAGGTAAACAAGAGCTTTGATGGATGCAAACTGATTCGAGGAAGGTAAAGCACGCTCAATCGTGTCTTTTTTATCCAAGGATCACGCGTTTTTGAGGTAATTCCTTTCTAGAGCCTTAGCGTATAGACACATACAGTCTGTTTCATTCCGGAATAGGCGGAACATTCTACGTGAAGCAGCGCGTATGCACGCTGGAGGCTTCACGAGCGCATAGTGCTGGCATTTTGCCAAGCAAAGACCAAGGAGAATGAAGAGACGCAGACTCGGGTACAGTCTGCTTCAATCGGGATCAGGCCAAACCGTCGGCGTAAATTTGCGCGCTCGCAACGCTAGCGGTCTGCGCTGCCTGTGCACGCTGTCGGAGAGAGCAAAACGATTGGAGAGAGAGCAGAGAAGCAGGCCGTGGGCGTGACCGCGAAACCCTTGAGATGCGGACTCCCGCCATGCCAATTTTGGCCTGGTTGGAATTGGGGCAGACTGTAGCACGGGTGTAGGCCCTTCTGAACCTGCCCCAATCGCGACGGCTATAAGAGGTCAGCGCTAATTAGAGGTCACTCCAGGATTGGTTAGCTCGCGAGAGCGAGCGGCTGACCTGGACAGACGCGCTGCGGAGGCGGACGAGTTTCACATCGCTGGTAACCTACTTCACAATGAGATCCTGAGGTAATTCTCTAAAAATTCCTAAATTCCCCAAACTCTCTGGAATTCAATAACTTAATTATTCGCTCTACTGCACACTACTTAAATCGCCGGCCACTTTTTAAGGTAGTATGTTTTTGATCTATGAGACATTTTCAACGTCTTTTTCGACTCATTTTACTGTTTTTTTAGCTCGATTGCATGCTCTACTCTCCTACGTCTGCCTCCTTGCAGCATCATCTAGTCACATGTAATTGAAATGTGCACTACATGCATGCCAGTAGGGAAGCATACGTTTTTTTATGATGAGTATGAAGTTATTTTACACCGTCCATATCAAAAACGCAATCAAATAAAATGCATCACCTTCATTTGGTAGCGTGATCTACATGGATTGATTTTGGTAACGACCTTTTCTTTGCTGCACGCATCATGCTTTTTATATCGTATTTTTCGTAAATTTCAAATGCACGTTCGTAAACTTTACTCGAATGAGAATTTTGAGGAGATGATAATTTCTTTGGAACTACAGAGCTGCACTGAAATGTCAGAAGGAAATACGCATCTGATAACGAATAAGCGTAGATCACCAATTTAAGTTATAACTGGCCTTTACAAAGAGTTGTTACACAAACTTTGATTACGTGGGCTTTCCTCAATAACATCAAGCAGCTCACATTAGCATTATGATGTGACGATGCACGACGTCTTAAGGATCGCACACACAAGGGATTTAAGTGGAAAAGAAGCAAGAAAAAACAAAGTCCCGAAAGAATTAAAAAGAGATTCATGAGAAGTTCTTTTATGAATCATGTAAATGAAAAGACTTCGAAAATGTCTCATAACTCATAAACATACCTGCTGGGAAGTAGGGCTCAGAATACCAGACATTCAGAGGATGGTAGCTGTGTTTGGTTGAAGGGCAGCATGATTGGCTTGCATTCCACAATGCAAGAGCCGCACGAAAAGAGGCGATTTTCGAAAATACGAGCCCATCGCGGAGCACTCGTCCGCAGTCATCGCAGCGCATGCGCGCGCGTCCTAGTTCTAGATTACTGTAGGGGATGGTGGGTTCAGAAGGGCCGTCTCCCCTGTAGCACGATGAGGTGGGATGTATGTCAAGAGGCGCGATTTTTATTGCCAGCTGGACACCAAATGGCACATAATAAGTGTTCTGCAGCTTTCTAAAAGTATATGAAATTTGGAAGAAGATGTATCAGATAGTTGCATGAGCTGTTCAATCTTGATACTTCAGAAAAAATTCAAAAGAGCAATTTTAAAGGTCAAAAACTTATGAAAATACATTTCAGAACAAATTCGTAAATATTTCATTCCAATTTATAGCAAAAACTATGAAAATCTGCAAGTGATGACCTCAGGCAGACAGTAAGCTAATGCACTTTATCTGGTAATTTTTGTAGACTCGCATAGCACTAAACTGGAGTTTTAAGTTGGTGACAGCCAGAGAAATCGCGCCTCTTGACCGTCTCCCCGATGAGGTGCACTCTCAGACATTTTTTGCAGCCACCCGCGCGCTCATGGCCGGATGGGCGAAAACCCGTTCCGGGCCTTGCCCTGCCATGCTAGCGCGGGCCAGAGACGGTTCTAGTGTGTGCAGTGACCCTGTCATCCGGACGAGCGGGCCAGCCTGTATTTCAATGTCTCCTTTGCTTTGTTGGCCCACGCTAGCATAGCAGGGTCACCCTGGGGTTGGGTTTTTGCTCGGCCGCACCTACATGCGCAGGTCACCTCGAATGTGGATGCGACCCATTTGAGATCAAAAATGGTGGAGATCGTTCCTGCTTCACACTAGTGATCGAAATATACGAGATTAATTGAAACCCCATCAGCGGTCAACTCATAAGGGAACCTGTTGTGCCTAAATGCAAGTGTTACTTCGCCTGCAAGCTCCGATGGCATCCCTTTTACTGCGTCGTATCTCACGCGAGTAACCCTTTTGCTTACAACGTGCGTTAATCCATATGGATGAGCGGGTTGCTGTTAATTTCGGCATGCGTGTGTATGGGTGCGCGGGCCGCCAATGAAATTATGAGCCTGTTTAGGCGCGCGGACCACCGTCAGCATGGCATCAACTATGTGCGCGGGTCGCCAGCTCACACCTGTGGGCCGCTGCTGGGCCTGATGCATGTAAGGCTAATATTTAGGTGCCGCGGCTCAACAGCGAAGCCCAGTTGGGCGACCGGGCCGCTGCAACAATTGTCTGAGCTGTAGCTGCGAAACGGCGCGAACCGTTGCGGGGCGGACGCCCCGCCAATCCAATTTCCGCCTAAGGCCCCGGACAGACTTCACGCGTTTTGATCGTCGCGACTGAATCAACTGTTACAACATCATTCCATGCCGATCAACTTGCATTTTGGTTGTGATACTTTTCCAGCCAAAATTTTTGAATGTGAGATGAAAATGAATGGAAATGTCGGCGATTGAGTCGCGACGATCAAATCGCGTGAAGTCTGTCCGCGGCCTAAAGCGGGTCGAAACTTACTGTACTTAAATCTACACATGGCTGCGCAGAGCGCGCCCCATGACCCAGTACAAATTTAGCCGGCGCACAGGGAATTGGCGCTGGGGTGCGCTATAGTATCGGGACTTGGGTTTTCATCACGCTCACGGGTTTTCATCACGCTCACTACTTCATTCTTGACAAAGTGCTTTACTGTTCTATTTCTATCTGTTTTCATCACGCGCTCACTAGCTCCGTTCTTGATAGAATGCTTCACTTTTTCATTTGCGTCGGTGTTTTCATCACGCTCACTACTCCGTTCTTGATAGAATGCTTTACTAGTCTATTTGCGTCGGTGTTTTCATCACGCTCACTACTCTATTCTTGATAGAATGCTTTTATTCTATTTGTGTCGGTGTTTTCATCACGCGCTCACTAGCTCCGTTCTTGATAGAATGCTTTATTCATTTGCGTCGGTGTTTTCATCACGCTCACTACTCTATACTTGATAGAATGCTTTACTCTTCTATCTGCGTCCGTAGCTATCTCTGCGCCAGGTGTTGTAAACAAATTTTTTTGCAGGTTTGTTGCAAGCACAGGCGGTATGGCGATTGATTGACGCGAAATGTTCACAGGCAACATCGATGTGATTTTTTTGTTGCCACGGCCGGGAGTTCTCCGTCGAACTACTGATTTCTGGTCAATTTCATTGAAGACTGGAGAAGCGGGTACATCAAGTAAGTTGCTTGAACAACTAGAATTTTCCTATTCGGTGCCGTTTTAGTACTAGCTAGCTACTTTAGCGGTCACACATACATGTTGTTTGTTTTCTACATACTTTGCATTGAAAATTTTGCCTATCGAGTCGGTGTTTTGGAGGGAGATACAACATTTCAGGGTCGCTTGTTTGGAATCAAGCCGAGGAAGACCTACTCTGTTCAGAACCAAATCGAAGTGAACGCAGCTCTCGTGAAGGTGAGTGTTTCATGGCAAATGCTTACTGTACGGAGAGTGGGATCAACTTAACCACTCACTGCTTCATAGAGTAAGCCTTGAAGATTCTATAGTGAAAGTATCCGCAATTCCAGTGCAGATGTTCTTCTCTTTCTCTCTTAATCCTGGCGTTTCTGAATTGATCGGCTTATTTCGATTGTTTCGCAAAGATGTGCTTGCAAAATATTGAGCGTGTTGAAAGCACCGACGCAAATAGAAAAGTAAAGCATTCTATCAAGTATAGAGTAGTGAGCGTGATGAAAACACCGACGCAAATGAAAAAGTAAAGCATTCTATCAAGTATAGAGTAGTGAGCTTGATGAAAACGCCAAGTCCCGATACTATAGCGCAACACAGCGCCAATTCTCCGCGCGCCGGCTAAATTTGTACTGGGTCATGGGGCTTGCTCTGCGCAGCCATGTGTAGATTTAAGTATGTGTTAGCGTATAGGTACGTTCGCTGTTCTTTAGCTAATTTCTTTTACGAGTTTCCTTTCTTGTCAACACATCCTCTTCATCAATCAATAGCTATGCAGATGACGTAACGATCATCTGTTCTGCGGCCGAACAGGCGGTAATGGCTGCGAGAAACAGATGTGCTCGTTGCGATCGTATGCCAGCTAGTATTTTTCGTCCTCTTCCAACAGATAGTGCCTTCTTACACACCGTTCACAGAGCCAGTAGTATTTGAATCTGCTCGACACCTGCCACCTCCTCCCTGCCCTAGGTACTGCTTGATTTACTTGAACCAGCAAATTTATGCATCTATTCTCTGCGCTGATGCTGTAAAATGGGTGTGGCCTGGCTTTTTGCCTTCTGCATATTTCCACTTGGCTACTGTAGTCGAAATTCGCTTTTGAATGGGACTGTTATCCCATCTACACAGAATTCTTCTACTGATGGCGTCAGATTCCGAAGATTCTTCACTTCCTACTCTCCTTCCCAGAAATCCAAGCGAGCTGCTACAGCTCGTAAAGATCGCATTTGGCCCGATGGTGTGATACCATACATTGTAGCTGCAAATTTCTCAGGTAGGCTTTTTTTATTATCGAAGTTTCTATTCCAAATCATATTCTTGAGTGCATGACAATCAATGATAAGAATAAGATAAAATGAGCGGGTTGATGCTTGATTGTTGTTGTCACAAATCGGTAGCGCCTCCATTTCTGAAGTGTTCATGTCTAGAATGTGGAGGGGAGAAGTATTACCTATTTTGATAGAGTTGAAGCAGAGTAGAAAATATAACATTTTTTGCGTAATTCCATTTTTCAAAGCAAGTCTATAGCTCTTTACTACCGATTAGGATATTTAACCATTCAATTGTTTTCGATTTTCAACCAGGACACGTTTTTATTGCAGGTGAGCATAAGAACTTGTTCCAGAGGGCAATGCGGCATTGGGAGAATTACACCTGTGTGTCTTTCATACCCAAGCTGCCACAACACAAGCACTACATAATGTTTACCATCGATAAATGTGGGTAGGTCTATGTCTTCTTCGTATAAACATGTTGCTTTTCATTTTCGGCAAGTTCGTTTCTAACTACAGGTGCTGTTCTTATGTTGGGCGTCGTGGTGATGGCCCGCAAGCGATCTCCATAGGCAAAAATTGTGACAAATTTGGCATTGTTGTGCATGAACTTGGACATGTGGTTGGATTTTGGCACGAGCATACACGTCCTGATAGAGATCTGTATGTGGACATTTTCTATAAGAGTATACAGCCAGGTTAGATTTGAAGCTCATTTCCCCAAATTCTTATCAGTGCTCATTACTTGAATGTGTGTAATTTATGCGTTTTGATTAGGACAGGATTATAACTTCGAAAAATCAAAACCCGAAGAGGTTGATTCGTTGGGAGAACCCTACGATTTCAACTCGATCATGCACTACGCCCGCGATACATTTTCACGTGGAACTTTTCATGATACGATCTTACCAAAGCCGAGCTTAGGTCAGTTGTCACCACTTTCTCGTGTACTTGCTCTCAATTTTTTTTTGGTTTGAGCCTTTTTATCATAGTATCTCAGCATATTGTTAAGGTTTTCGCTCAGAGATTGGGCAAAGAGTACAGTTGAGTGAAGGTGATATCCGGCAGGCTAAAAAACTCTATAACTGTGCAGGTAGGGCATCGTTGCATTGTGTTGTGCATTGACTGATATGACTGCAATTTTGACATCATATGCTTTTTCAATTCTATATGGGATCATGATGGTATTGTTACATAGTTAGATCTGCCTTCCAGCTTGTGGAGGCACTTTGCTCCATGATTCTGCTGACCTTATACCGTCCAGCGCTGGCAAATGTGTTTGGCATATCATTGCTGCTGAAGGACAGACTATATTCCTGAATTTGACAGGTATGGATCATGTTATTTGCTCATGGTCGCTGTTCTCCCTTATGTTTGACTTGCAGCTGTTTGAAATTTTCTGCAATTTTTTTCATAGGCGCCTTTCTGAGTTATCCCCTGAGTGAATGTAATATGGAGTTTGAGGACACGATAGTTATTCGAGATGGCTATTCTGCAAAGGCCCCAGTTTTAGGTTATTGCTATTACTTTTGTAGTAAGACTTCCATTTATCAAGCTCTTGGATTCGCCTTTCTTCTACTTTGCTTTTGTATTAAGACAAAATATGCGGCGATGAAAATGGCTACCGCACTGTTGTATCATCTGGCAGTCGACTTTATGTAGAGCTGAACTCGAATACGCTTCCACTTGGCTCAATAGGCAAATATCATTCAGTGTGTGGAGGCCCAATCTATGCCGATAATGGTGTTATTCAGGTATTTCTGTGGTTTAAAGTCATTGAGTATTTTACTGACATCTTTCAGAGTCCGAGATATCCAGAATCGTATCCTCCGAATGCTGATTGCCTGTGGACTATCCATGTTTCTGAGGGTTATCAAGTTGCAGCGGAGATCATCTACTTCCATGTGCGTCTACTTTTTTATTGCGATTGCGAGCAATTCGTTCTATAGTTCTGTCTTAGCTAGAACAGCACAAGGATTGCATATACGACCGCGTTGTCTTCTGGGAAGGAAATGAAATTGGATCACCATTGGCGACTCTCTGCGGAACTATAACCAAGAGACAAATAGTTACAAAAGCAAGCAATGAGATGGTTATTAGGTTGGTACCTTCTTCGGGCTGACGTCGTTCCAAAGATTTTCAATCAGCTTCTCAGGTTGTACTCGGATAATTCTGTTCAAAAGACCGGATTTGAAATAGCTTTTGTTCGTGAGCTAGACGAATGTGCTATGGGAACACACCAGTGCGAACAGCGGTGTGTAAACACTGTTGGTAGCTTCAAGTGCGATTGTCACGTAGGCTACAGCTTGCGACCAGATGGTAGAACTTGTGAAAGTGAGTTGAGGAGTTTCCCTCGCTTTGATCGTTCTTATAAATACTTTTCTTTTGCTGAAAATATCTATATTAGCAACTAAGTATTTACATCAAGGTACATGTGGTGGCTTCATTCGTGCCTCCTCCGGTTCATTTGCCTCTCCCAACTTTCCTCTGCAGTATCCGTCCTCGAAAAATTGTGTGTGGGAGATTGAGGCAGATGATGGATATCAAATCTTTCTCAATTTCACAACTTTCAACGTGGAGGTGGGTTACCGAATGATCTCAATAAAGTGAGTGGATTGTGGAACTTCCAGGGAATGAAGACAGAATGCGCTTACGACTATGTAAAGATTGGAGAGAGTGAGAAACTTTGTGGCGACTATAGTATGTATTGGATGTCTTGTTTTTTTTTCAATTCTAATTCGAATTTACTAGTTTTGCTTAGCCTACTGCTCAAAGCTCAACGTGTCAAAATTCAGCTGAGCCGTTGTTGTTCACATCCGCATCGAATCGAGTCAGAGTTGAATTCGTTTCTGATTCATCAGTGGAGAGAACAGGTTTCTACGCCCACTTCATTGCTGATCTGAATGAATGTCAAGCAGACAACGCCGGATGTGAACACATCTGCCAAAATAGATTGGGTACGCTCAGTTTTCAGCCTCTCAGTTGGATAAGAGCATTTCAATTTTTTTGCAGGATCCTATGTATGCCTTTGTCAACCTGGTTATATCTTAGCTGCAGATGAACATAACTGCAAAGAGGGAGGATGCTTTTTTGAGCTCAACGCGCCAAGTGGTACGTTAGAATCTTGACGTGCGATGTTACTTTTTATTTGATGTTTGATTTTGCTTACTTTTCTTTTCTGAGTTTTTTCTTTCTTGAATAATGTGATTTTGGCAACATTATAGGTGAAATTACAACACCGAATTTTCCTAGTGACTACCCCAAAGGTCAGAATTGCACATGGCACTTTGTAACAACACCCGGTCATCGTCTTATGATCGTAAGCTTTGTATTTTGTACTTCTCATGTCAACTATATTACTATCTAGACATTTTCGTCATTTCAAATAGAGGAACATTCGCAGTGCAAATATGACTCCGCAGCCATTTATGATGGTGGCGACACCAATGCGCCTCTGGTCGGTATGTGGTTGTTAGTCTTAAAACTGATTTCTCAATCTCAAGTACTTTTGTCTCATTTCAGGTATTTTTTGCGGTGTCACCGCCCCACCAATGTTCATGTCGTCAACGAACCAGCTCTTTCTTACTTTCTCTTCTGATGCGTCCGTATCTAGGCAGGGCTTTGAAGCGCATTACTCATCAGGTGATCATAAATGACATTAAGCGTTTTTTTAGAGCATAATCCTTTGCAGTGTGCGGTGGACGTTTGACGGCTGAATCATCACCGGGTCATATTTACTCTCATGCTACCTTTAGCGATAGTAAATATGGAAAAAGCCAGGTTGGACCGAATATATATCTTCCTACAGCTGGATATTGAGTTAAGGATTGCTGGTGGAGGATAAGTGCTCGCTCACGTCATCGTGGTGTGCGCATACAGTTCAACTCTTTTACTTTGGAAGCTGAAGAAAGGTGCCAGTATGATTACATGGAGGTAATTTCGATCAGTAACTCGTTGGTAGCTGCTTACATACTTTTGAATTGAAGATTTATGACGGTTCTGAACCTGTACAACATCGTCTCTTTGGGAGATACTGTGGTGATCAGATTCCCGAAACTGTGACTAGTACAGGTGCGTTGCTTGACATTCATCTTCTTTATTTTCCGTGTTTGCTCCAGACCTGTACGATTATTTTTTTAGGCTCGGAAATCTTATTGATCTTGCACACTGATGACTCAGAGGAGGAGAAAGGGTTTGTTGCGGAGTATCGGGAAGCGCCACGAAGTCATAAAAGGCCCGTACCTCGACCCCCAAGGCGCAACCTGGACAAGGAACCCTTGAGTTTTTGATTTGACGTTTTTGTTGCGTTTCTATGTTTAAGGGAATTAGGACATTATATTTTTTTTATTGCCTTATCATTCGCTTCAAATGATGCTGTTTTTCTTCACTGCCGCAAGAATCAATGCGGGCATGTAGAAAAGTGCCCATTTTCTTGCTGAAATTATACATGTACTCCTATTGTCACACATATCATTGTCAATGTATTTTGTACTGTCGCTGCCAACATTCATAAATTATTTTGTTTCGTGTGTCTGTTCACATCGTTATCTGTTAAGAATCAGTCTTATCTTATCTATAAAATGAACGCTGTCACAGATTAGATCTGAATCTTTGCACGTATTAAGATCTCATTTGCACATGCGGTAGAGAAGGAAAATGTCCTTGGCAAACTGGATGTCTCAGCTGCCACCTGAGTTGACTTGCCGACCGATTTACACGCTTAAAATACCCGGTAAGTAATGGCTGCAGAGCATTTCTCTCGTATACTCTTTCTGAATTCGAGTCTGCCTTCTAATACTTTCGCTGCTAACTTTCAAGACGACGGGTGTCAACTGTCTTTTAACATACCGCCATCTCTTTGATGTTTTTTTTGTGATAATGAGTTAGTGACATTTGTTGCCGTCAAAGTCCAGACTTGAAGCATCAGAAACAGCACTTCTTTAGTCTTTCATCGATCAACTCACTTGGTTCCAGAGATTAGCTTTCAAAACCCTGCATTTTTTCAGGTTCTCACGATTCGGGCGCCACGAACTTTCTGAACGACAAACTTCCTGTTGCAAATGATGAAGATGGCCCTATCCAACAATTAGGAAAAGCATTTTGTATACGGCGTGGCATCAAGCGATGGGCTGTTTGTCAGAGGTTAGCTGATTGCTGTTAGTGCGAAACTTATTAGAACACAATTTGCCTAAGCTTCTTTATTTTGACAGTTTTGAAGCTAAAGTAATGGTTAATATTAAGCTGTTCTATACGGAATCAGCTCGATCATGGAATTCGTTATCTCGACTTGCGGGTATCAAATCCACCAGTTGGAGTCCGCAAATCAAAGACAGTAAGCGGCGAAGTTGATGCTTTGGATTCATTCTTGAACCATTCGAAGTCAATTCCAGGATTTCCGTTTGATTCATGCTTTGTATGGCCCTAAGTTACATAATGTTTTTCGAGAGATCCTGGACTTTCTTACAGTGAACACAAAAGAGGTATCTTGTGCTAATTGCAGATGATGAAAGAAAATTGGTGTTTTAGGTCATTTTGTTGGATATGAATCACCTCTATGATTTTGATCTAGAAAGCTACTGTATTTTGCAAACATTGGCAATGGATATCTTGGGGCAGGATCTTTTTTGTCCTGTGATGAATCCAGACGACGTATCTTTGGATTTCATGTGGCAAAACGGTTACAAGTGAGGAATCATATTGGGCCAAATTACAGGCAGGCGGCTTCAATGTAGCAGGCTTTAGTGGTAGGAAGCGCTAGTAGAATAATATGTTACTTCTTGCTCAAGAGAATATGAGAGAATATGTGTAACAGCAGCTTCTGCAGGAAAAAAAGTCAGTGTACAATCCTATCAAATTCTGACTCTCTTGTTGCTTGCACGCATGAACTGTGCTTTTCATGGACTTAATCATTGAGCAAATCATCTGTATGCTGATAAGTGAATGATGTACTGGAACTAAACCGACACTTTTTTTGCGCACCAGCTTTTTTGCTTGAAAAATGAACAGTGGTGGCACACTTTAAAGAAGTCAAATTATCTGTCTTTCTTCTTTATTTTGGATGGTTTTTTATTACAAATGTTATCTGCTTCATTACTTTAGGAATCTTCCTATTATTACAGTCTAAAATAATGCTGTCTTTCCTAGCGTCAGGCTATTTGTGACTAATTCTGAGAACAATTAGAAAACAAAATAAACGCCAAAAAATAGATGACAGACGCCCAGCATTCAAGTTTGCTTCCATTTCATTTAGTGTTGCACCTTTGCAAATGGTGTTCGATCTCGAGAGACTTTTACTGTCGAAAGACAAAACTTCAGGGTCATAGCCTTCTCCTCGTTGGCTAGTTGCGATTGTCCTGTAATTTGGCCTGGCTGCCTTATTCCATCTCCGTGGCCGAACACTAACAATGTTGATGAACTTATACAAATTCTGGAATCTCAGCTGGATGATTGCCGTAAGAACTCCAGAGGATTTTACGTTACGCAGGGTATCCTTACGCCTAGAAGTTATGATGTTGTAAGTTATTTTTCGGTAATTTTCGACCCTGCAGTTGACAATATCTACAACACAGGTTGCAAAGTGGTTCTCAACTCTTCGCGAACAATTTGCTCAGCGAGCAACGGACCGGGTCTTGAGCTGGCTCGACGAGCTTGAGGAAGAGAAGAGAGAAATGCTCAACGTTGTCATTTTGGACTTCATTGACGATGCGTCTTCACGCAAGATCATCTCACTTAACGCTGATTCCATTCTTGCACCCACACAAACTCAACCTTGTTCTAATTCTAGTCTTCAATTTTCCGCTGATTCCATTCTTGCACCCACACAATCTCAACCTTATTGTAATGCTAGTCTTCAATATTCCGCTGATGCCATTCTTGCACCCACACAATCTCAACCTTGTTCTAAGGCTAGCCTTCAATTTTCCGCTGATTCCATTCTTGCACCCACACAATCTCAAACTTATTCTATTGCTAGTCTTCAATATTCCGCTGATGCCGATCTTGCACCCGCGCAATCTCAACCTTATTCTATTGCTAGTCTTCAATATTCCGAACAGTAATATAAGCAAAGCATGTAATATACAAAGTGATAGTTATTCGTTCAAGGGTTGTTTGCATCACCTCCTTTGATTTATGCTTTAGATTTACATGATCTTGAGCGTCATGAATATACTTTAACCTATTCTTCCCCTCATTTCAAAATTAGGGTTCTTTCACTTTGATAATTAGTGATCTCATAGCTTCCATTATGTGCCAGCCGCTCTGATCATGCCATTGTCAAAAAGAAGTACCCAGTGCTCATTTGTTAGTGATGGTTTTGTGATATTTGATACGTAGTATTAACAGATATTTCTGATTTTTCATGATATACCCTTGGTGATTTCGTTACTCGTGATATGTACTAATAGTAGCGCCCTATTCGTTGTATTTATCAATAAAACCATTTTCTCCCAAATTCTATGATGAGTATTGCGCTTTTGATTAGTGAGTGAGACGCGATAATTTGGCTACCATACAGCTCTATATTATAGTAAGAACCGAATATTTCTCGAGTATTCGTATTAGGATAATTTATTCGAACTAGAAAAGTCGAATAATCAGGAAAATGCATTTATTCCTTTGGAACAGTCGAATAAATGAAAAGACTTTTATTCGCATATTTGTTTATTCGGCGAATCGAAAAAACAACTCATTCGAAATGTTGTTCGAATATTTGAGTAAAACTTCGAATAAGTTGTTTCTTGATTCGTCGAAAAAACAAATATTCGAATAAAGGTCTTTTACATTTATCCGACCACTCGAATTATCAAATTAATGCACTACTAGTTCGAATAAATCATTCGAATACGAACATTCGAAAAATATTCGGTTCTGGTTTTACTCCACATTTTCGTCGTTCGTTAAAAACGCCCTAGTGACTCTCCCATTTTTCGTATTGCTTTGCCGTTTTCGGCAATTTTGTCAATGGGGAAAATAACCACAGCCATTTACGGAAGTGCATGAACCAAATGGTTGTGAATCTGTTGTTTCCTATGCTCGCAAATATGGGCATTATAATGCGTGGGATGACAAAGATGAGGGCTACGTTTGATAAGTGCTGATAAACAGATTTGACTGCGCAGCAAGAATCGGCCAAAACAAGGCGGACTACAGATTGTAGGACATCAGTCATTGTCTCCCATCACCTCGTTTCATTTTCCTAGAATTGACCGCATAAAAGCCTGACCGATTATATTGCTAAAATTTTCTTCACAAACTGAGAAAACGCAGTGGTATGTATTTGCACAGCCGTTCCTCATTTTGTAATTTCGGGATACTGTATTCGCCATCGTGGATGGAACACACACACCCTATCAGCAATCTTACGCCAACATCTCTTCTCCCTCTTTTTCGTGGCGAAACAATTGAGAATCTTGCAGCTTTTCAAGAGATATTCGTTCATACTCAAGAATTTCTGAAAACTGGAAAGCAGTTTTTTGTTTCACACTCGGTTTATCCTATGGTATGATATGTTCCCACGACAGGCGTTTCATTGATATATGCGCAAGGTTTCCTGGCTCTTTTTTTGTTTTACAATCGAAATGGGAGGAGACGGTAGCTTTTTTACTCACTATTTGCTCTGTATTTTGTATCCGTGGAGCGTGTTCGTTGCCTCGCGATTTCCAGCTTACTGCTTCCGTGAATTTCAGACTGGTAGCAGAAGACGAGAAGGGATGAATACTGACCCGATGCAGAACCACAATTCTGTTGAAACCCGTAAGTTTCCTGGGTTTTCTTGTGGTTTCATCGTTAGTAAGGTTGCTTTCATACTGATCCGGAAGTTCGGAAACAGTTCCTGCACAGCGCTCGAACTGGGCGCTGTGCTGGAATTGTTCCCGGACTTCGGGATCAGTATGAACGCAACCTAACAGTTAAACCAGAATGAGAGTATGTTTTTGTGTGGTCAAAATCATCTAAAGTTTGCACTATATTCAGTTCCCGAGCAGCTAAAACGCATGTACAACTTGCAAAACGGGTCAAATGACGTCTCATCCATGCGTGGAAGTGTGTTTGAGGATGCAGATGCGGCTGCAAATGGATCATTGCATTCGAGTCAGTGGCCCCAGTCCTTAGATAGGAGAGATCTTGGCAGTTCATCGAGCAACTGGATTCGTCTGAATGTTGGCGGCAAGGTAATATCTTTTTTGTTTCTTAAAATATTTGAACGATGTTGAGTTTTGCGTGTTTTTGCGTTTGTGTTTTTGTGCACCATTTTTTAAGTTATTCCAGCTTATTTTACTTTACTTTATAACATATTTTACTTTACATATATAACATATATTTTACTTTACTTTACTTTATAACTTTATAAGCACTTTATAACATAATCGTGGTTTGCTTGAGAAGCGAAAAATTAACGAAAGTTTTTGATAATAAAATCACATTCAGATCTTCCAAACAACTCGCGACACGCTTATGAAAGTCCCTGGCTCTTTTCTTTATCGCCTGTGTCAGGACGATAAAAGACTACCGAGTGTCAAGGTGAGGTTCTGCGCATGCTTTGTTTTGGCCCCTGAATTTTGCAGTCCATACAGGCTGCTAAAAAGCTCTAGTTCATATTATTTTTTAGGATGAAACCGGTGCATACCTAATTGATCGTGATGCGGATTACTTTTCACCCGTTCTTAACTACCTGAGACATGGCCGACTCATCATTAATCCGGGTCTTGCTGAGGAAGGTATGATAATAACCTTGCTTACGCTAATCGGCTGTGTTTTTCACAGCTTTACTATACTGTCTCTAGGAGTCCTCGAGGAAGCTGAATTTTACAATCTTCCTCAGCTCGTTCATCTCGTCAACGAAAGAATCCATGAGAAAGAAAGAAGTGCCACTGAAGCTGGGGTAATAATTTCTAAGTCATAGGGAAATTCTAATACAGTATTTCTTTGGTGTACAAATGAGCTATTGTATGTCTTTTCAGAGATTCAAAAGCGTTTATCGCGTCATACAATGTCACGAAGAGGAGTTGACAACTTTCATCTCAGCTACTAGCGATGGGTGGAAAATTGTTCAGGTAAAATTCAACTTTGATAACATTAAGCTATTCTACTTATATATACTTATCCAGGTTCTACCAGTACAAACCAAATATCAAGATTACACTGTGGATAGACAGCAAGAGTATCTTTGCATCGTAGTGAGGGAGTGCCCAGATAATGGTTCCGTCAGCGACAGCAGAGATCGCGCCACACTGCTGCAACAAAAAGCAAGACGTAAGTTTCAATTTGCGCTTCTGAGTCATTAGTTATACGGTGCATTTGCATAATGGGCACCCTATACTTGACCCACTTGATCCATATGATCCACTTCGTATAGGTCAAATCAGTGAACTGAACTATAGCGAAGGGATGAAGCAGATCAAACAAATCAAGTGGACATCAGCTTTGCTATGGTCAGTTCACTGATTTGACCAATAGCGAAGTGGATGAAGCGGATAAGAGGATCAAGTAGCCAGAAATAAGCATTTTGATTTGACGTTATTTTTGTAGCACTTCTGTTTACCATCAGTGGGACCTGATGGTAAAATAATGATTATCACCATTGTTCTAAGTGCTTAAAGGCAGCGTCCAGGCAAATCTGGAGCTATGGGGCTCTCACGTAGAAAGTAATCTTGAGGCCCTAAATAAGGCTCTGCCAAAGCGGCAGTTCAGACAGTGCACTCACGGCTAAAATATTGGGCTCCAAACTATGCCCCGTGATCGTATTCGCATGGATTCATGGCTTGGCACATCAGTTTCGCGTGGATCCTCGCGCGAAAGCGCCTCGAATCCATGCGAATACATTCACGGGGCATAGTTTGGAGCCCAATATCTTAGCCGTGAGTGCACTGTCTAAGCTGCCGCTTGGGCAGAGTCTTATTTAGGGCCTCAAGATTACTTTTCACGTGAGAGCCCCATAGGTCCAGATTTGCCTGGACGCTGCCTTTAAGTGTAGTCATAACGTTTTCTGACTAACGTCATTTTTTAGATAATTGAACTTCTCAAATACGCTAACTGCGTTAATGCCGTTTACTCTTTCTACACACAAACAAATATGTTGTCGTCTGTATGGCGAGTTCTTCTAGTAACTGCGAATCAGCCTCGGAATGCATATTGGGGTTAAGGTGTTTCCCCGAAAAAGTTTTATTTATCTTCTCTTTTTATAAGTTTATTTATAACACATCCTTTTATTCCTTCTAACTTTCCAGTTATTTTCTGGCATAGCTGCTCAGATCCTATCATGTCTTCTCGCTATTCCACGGTTTCAAACTTCAATCTCATCCTAATTTCATGCCCACACAATAACACAACTATGCCCATTAATGGCTGTCCACTAGTCCATTTTTAACATATAGATTTGCTATTTTATTAGTTGAAGTTGTTATCTCTGAGTAATAACCATATTTGACCGCTGCAACTAAATTTTGCAGCAAATTTGCCAACTTCCTCTGATTTTTAGCTTTTTACAATCGCTGTCACCTTTGTTTGCTTTGATCTCTTTTTATTGCTGCTTAAGCGATCTTTGTATCATAATTAGTCAGAATAAATTATGATTTTTTATGACGGAAGTGAGTTTGATACGTTAATCTGGGATTCTGTCCGAGTTAACCTGTTGCAAATCGTATAGCTCAAAAAGTGAGATTAAATGATAAAAAAGCAGTAGAAGTACCCGAAAGAAGATTCAGCATTATGTTTCATGTTGTGAAGATTTTACTTCGATTACCGATTGTAGGTGCAGTTGTGCCTCTACATTCAATATACAATCTTTTACTTTCAACTTTCAAGACAATGGTATTAACAAAAGCAAATTACAGATTCAAAAGTAAGTCGTAAATACGATAGAATTAGATGTTAACCACGCATAACAACAACGTGAACAAGTGTTGTATGTACATATCTCGCAGAAACACTGATCAAACCACCAAGCGATACGTAATGTAACGGCCTGCAGTTTCCGACGGTCTAACAATTTTCACGACTTGTCCTCTTTTCAAACCAAAATAACGTGCAACCGGATCTGACAGCTGGATTCTTGGTAGCTGAGTGTCTTTCAGTTTACTGAAAAAATAACATCAAAGTATGAAGTGAAAGGAGAAGGGAGTCCAAGTTGATTCAAACTCACTATCTAGCTAACAGCTCTGCCTTTTCGTCACTGGTCATCACAACATGTTCAGGGACTAACTCGTGCTCAGTGATATTCACCATGAGTTCCGATTCCAGAAAATGTTCCAAGATATACTTAGGAGCCATGTCAGCAATTGCCTAAGTTAGCGATGCATGACCATTCATTTATTGACTACATTGAAATGCAAAAGTTTCTGCCCCCCAAAAACGATTGAAAAAAAGAGGAAAGAAATTAAGAGACACATGGAAAATAAAGTACTAGTACATCTAAAACTTACCTGTTTCGCGCTTGGAGTCATTCCCGTCTGCACCACAATAATCGCTCTCGTGATAGTTTGCTCTTGCATCTGCTGACAGATTGCTTTGATCGTTTTAATTCCGATCTTTGTATCTTCTGGGAAGAAAACAAACATTTGATCTGAAAGAACAGCGTTGTTCGATGTATGCAGACGGCAGAAAGACAGTTTACCTGTTGGATCGTCATTATGGGCTACAAGGATAGTAAGGTCACTGCGCGCAGGTTTTCTTTCACTGGGACGATCACCAAACATCTCTTTGAATTCGTCCAGCGTCTGATCCAACTCTTCTTGAGTTACTAGGTAGCCGCGATCATGACACATCTGTATCGAATATTTAAGCGAGAAAACATAGAATTCGTTAGGCGAAGGTCATTGTAAGGCAGATAAGACCGAAATTCTTATGAAAATCTGTTAAAAAGACATAATGGATGATGGAGTAAAGGAGAAAGTAAAGGAGAAATTTCTGCTCAATAACCAACCTGCATGATCGTTTTGCGGACCCTCCATAATTTATAAGTTTCTTGCTCGTCGTCGGCCATTACCCTGCAAGTAAAACTGTTTTCTAGCAGCGATCATATGACCAATCAATCACAAGGTAACTTCAGAAAACTACTGATTACTTTCCAAGGTACTGACAAACATTAGTAAAGATTTATACAAGAGCAACAAAGAAAAAGCAAGTAACCGGGAACATTAAAACATTTCAAATAATGAGCTAGCTTTCTACCCTGTACAATCAAACGGCGAGGTATATAGAACTCTGAAAATCAAATGATATCGACATGTCTTAACTCAAGCATGCAGCTCTTTGTTGGACATCTTGGGAGCTTGTACTTGCACTTGAGGTGTGCCAGGCTTTAGTCCTACAGAAACAAACAAATTAACGACAAATCTACGAATGTTTCTAGAAGTGGAACTGCAGTTGCCATATTTTAAGACTGCTTACCAAAAAGTATGGCGCCTCCAACAAGCGCTGCGATAGTAATACCTTGTGCCAAGCAACGGCCACGCATGTATAGCTGAGCTTTTTCTGGTTTGCGCTTTATGGTTGCACTTAGCATGCCTGAAATGCAATTTTTGTTTCGTATAACTTTTTAGGTTTTCAAGAAGCTCACCAATGAGGCAACCAACAGTAGCAATCATGCCAATTGGCACAAATGGATTACTCATGGCTCTATGAAGAACAGTGGAAGATATAGTTGAGCTGTTTGATCCTTCTAAAACATTCAACAAATTTCATTTGTCAAAAGCAGACGTCAGAAGCAATACGAAACTCACGAGAGAAATCCTGTGGGATCAAAGGTACAGTAGAGTACTTCTCCTTTTCCACCTGAAACCGATATTTGAAGAAAAGAAGCTAAATCATTTTTTTAACAAAAATGAATCGCGCAAGCTCACCTGCCATTTCATATGTTGTTCGTGATCGGTGAAATCATGTGGTGGTGGGGGAGATGCTGACATATTTTCCAAAATTTCTGTTTAGGGTATGCACAGTCACTCAAGGAAAAACAAAAAACGATTCAAATACGAAAATGTCGAAAAGAGAGGATCGCGACGATGTGGGCAATTGCAGAAATACTAAGTCCATTACAGTAATCCAAATGCCCACGAATGCCCTTCAGATGGAAAAGGCTTGTTAATCATTGCTTTTGATGGCAAAACTATAATGTTTATCTTTTAAACATCAGCTATAAGTTGGCTCAACTTTGTCAGGTTTGTACGAAGATTATATTCCTTCGCAAGCGCCCATTTCCAGATGCACAACACTGAACATTCATGCTTTCAGCATGCTTTTCTTGCTGTTTTTTCTTACCCGGTGCCGTAATTTTGAAGAGACAATGCTTATTACCGGGCGCTAACTTTCTTTGTTCGTTTCCGTTAGGCACCCGCCATACTTAGTCCGCTTAATCCACTTGATCCGCTTGATCCGCTTCGTCATTGGTCAAGTCAGTGAACTGACCAATCGTGAAGCGAATCAAGCGGATCAAGTGGATTAAGCGGATCAAGTATGGCGCGTGCCTTACAGCTAGATTCCTGAATGCTGAGGCGTATACAACTTTCTGCCACTCTCTCCTAAAAATGCTTACAGCTTCCTTTCTGACCGGCTCACAGGAATCAGAATTACAACGAAGTATTAGGTTGTCCCGAAGGTTTTGTCCGCTTTTTCAAACAACTATAAAGCCAGGCACAATAAAGATCTGAACAAGCTTAAACATGCATTCGATGCAGCTTTTCCTTCTCTTTGTTAAGAATACTTTTCGAACCATAATCTTGTATGCTTTTTTTGATAATTGCCAAAATTCTTCACACGTCAATTTTATCTGCTCATTAGGCTGATTTTTAGAAAATTTCATTACAAAGTAAAGGTTTAGGTATGGACCAAATAGAGCAATTCTCGGACTGATAGTATTTTATATCCTCCTAATCTGCTGTTTTTAGCTTTAAAAAATTATTTCTTTGGAGGTCTCGATTTTTGGCGAACTCATGAAACACGCAACTGCCGCAAATACGCGAAAGCAATTGAAGTTTCTGCGAATGAAACATGATTCTTATCAAACATAATTTATTCAACATAACCACTCAGACAATCGATCGGACCCCTCCGCCGGACCCTCGGAAACTGCCAGGGTCGCGCCGGACCCAGTTGACCAATGAGAGAAGGGCAAATGGGCGGTCCATCGCGGTGGCATCACTGGCAGGCAAATGGGAGGCTTCTCCGGCCCTGCTGCAAAGGTCCGCCATTTCTCCGGCGCGACTCTGCCAGATTTGACGGACTCCGCGCCGCAGAGGTCTGCGCGGCGCGTGTCCGCCAAATTTGGAAGACACGCGCCGGAGAAAATCGGAGGGGTCCGGAGCAGAAATGGGAGGTATCCGAAGCAGAAAATGGGAGGTATCCGGAGCAGAAAATGGGAGGTATCCGGAGCAGAAAATGGGGGGTATCCGGAGCAGAAGATGGGAGGTATCCGCCGGAGAAATGGGAGGTATCCGGAGCAGGCTGCGTATCGATTTGGCGCGTAGCAAGCAAACGTCTAACTCCACGGTGATGAGTCCTCTGTTTACGCTCTTTGTCCATATTTTAGTCGCCGTTTATTTGATTCTGTTGTTTTTGCGCGTTTCTTTACCGTTTTTTCCTTTTCCGCGTTGCTCTTCGTCGCGTTGACGTTTATGCTGCTGTAAGTTCCTCGTTTTCAGGTTTATGTTTGAAATTTTCGTGCGGTTGCACTCAATCACCTTCAGTGTTTGGCTCTTTCCGACTTGCTGAGACATCGTAGACTATTGATGGAGTGGTTTTTGTGATTAATTCTGGATTTTCGAAACAATGAGGTTAGTTGCGCAACTATCTAGTGTTGTTGTGATGAAAGTATCGTCTAAATAATCCGTTTATTGCTATAGTGTGGACCCCGGCCAGGTTCCCATAGGTACCTCCGCGGCGCGCCCGCAGCGCATGCCTTCAGTGCGCTTTTCGTTTCGGCTCTGAAGGGATTTCTTTCAATTTCCTCTTTCAAGTGTGTTTGTTCTCTTCTGTAATCTCTACTTTAGATGTAAACGACACACGTCAACTGCTGGTGATGGATTATTACGAGTCTTGACAGTCTTGCAAGCATTTGTTCCGAAAATCTTGTTTTTTTCTCAATAGTGAAGATTTCGGTGTAGTTCAGAGACATCTCTCCAAATGTTCAGAATAAGTGTATATGCAGTTGATTTTGTGGAGTGTAGATGCTTCTAGCCTTTTGTTACACCATCAGAGCTTTGCAATCGTGCTCTTGAGCTCAAACTTTCTGGGTTTTTTTATGAACAGAAGGAAGACTTTTCAGAATTGTTCTTCGACTTTTCCTGTTACTTCTATCATCCATCGCTGGTAGTGTCATACACTACTAGCGATGGATAATAGAAGATTCCAGTTATTTATGAGATTGACTGGAATCTGAGCGCTAGTAGTAGAAGTTGTGAAGGTTCTCCTATTGCCTTGGCTTTTCTCGTGTTCGGATTAGAGGCCTCCACATCTCATTTCACTCCTGTTTTCGGTTATAATGCTTTTTTGTTCGTAAGTGAAATGAGAAGCGTTCAAGTCGGGCGCGCGTTGCGTGTGCGCCGCGCTAGTACCTGAAGCTGGCCGGGGTCCACACTATCTCTCTCGTACGTATGCTTACCAAGTCGATCGACTTTTCATCAGACGTTGCAGATCCTCACTATATCGTTTCTGGCTTGAAAGATAGGACAAGGCAAGAGATATGTTGACAAAAGTCTTGGAGGCAACTCCAAACGATGTTGAAGTTTTGTGACTGTTACTGAAGCATTATGACTGTTACTGTTGCTTAGTCACATCACATTGCTTCCAGTATTGCTTAGCGAGATTAGGGACTGATAAGGCTAGGTAAGCATGTAAATGTGAAATGTTTGAGTCACATAGCTTCTTCTTTACTGTTTATGTGACTTTCAATCACAATTTGCAGAATCGCTTTTGAACGAGCGTTGGAATTGCAAAATGACAATGTTTGTGCTCTTTCAGCACTTGCCACTTTGGATTACAATACGCATACTGTCGAGGGAGCCCAAAGTGCAGTGGCTTGTCTAGGCCAAGCGTATAGTCTGGAGCCGGAGAATCCGGTTGTCTTGGTCCATCTTGCCAACCACTTCTTCTTCAAAGGAGTCAGTGCAGAAATTCTTTGAATTAATTACGAATTATCTATAAAAGGGACCTTTTAAATTTGTCCAAGCTGTTACATCGAGGTGTTTATCGCTTTATCTGAAGGCATCACTTTTTCAGGAAATGAACAAGGTTGAACGGTTAGCGTGGCATGCAATGAGTATGACGGAAAGTGACGAAATCAAGGCCGAAGCTTGTTACATTCTTGCGCGGTTTTTCCATTTCAACAGAGACTATGAAAAGGCGTTCAAGGTAAGTTGCATATGCAAGAATTTCAATCCATGTCATCATCGTGTCCTAGTACTATTATCAAGCAACTACGTTGAATCATCCTACTTTCGTTTTGCCCCAGTATGGCCTTGGACCTCGGAATTCGAAGATGTTTGGATGAATATAGCTCATGTATATATCGCACTTGGACAATATGTCCCTGCTTTGCAAATGTGAGTTTATGGCGTTCCTCGCTGTTTTGTTTCATGTTGCACAGAATGCTTTTTTGATCTTTTTGTCATTTTCTTACCATGTTAAAACCATATGCTTATACTGTGGTGTTACAAGGTTCTTTTTGCAACTAGGAAATTAGTTTTTCTTTGAATATTCTTATCACTCCTAGTATGGTTTTTGTAATATGAATTAACTGTTGTACGTATGCTGGAGATAGATAGATAGATTTTTCGAAAGTTTGATAAATTTGAAATAAATGTCTTATCTCTTCGTTCTTTCTTCTATCTTCTATCCACAAACGCTAGGGGTGAGAGGGAGGGGGTAGAGTACGGGGTGAGGGTCGCGCTAAACTCCTACCCGGGGGGGGGGTCCTATTCGTCTTATTTGGGTGGGGTTTAGAGACAAAATTGGGGTTTGGAGCTAAAAGGCAGCGTCCAGGCAAGTCTGGACCTATGGGGATTTTACATGGAAAGTATTTTGGGGCCCTAACTAAGCCACTACCCAACCGGCAGCTCAAGTAGTGCTCTAACGCCTGAGATATTCTGCTCGAAACCGGACCCCGCGACCGTGTTTCGCATGGATTCATGGCGCAAAGAGTGGATCCTGGCGCGAAACTGCCATGAATCCATGCGAGTACGTTCGCGGGGGTCTGTTTCGAGGGGAATATCTCAGCCATTGGAGCACTACCTGAGCTGCTGCTTCGGCAGTGCCTTAGTTAGGGCCCCAAAAGTACTTTCCATGTAAAAGCCCCATAGGTCCAGATCTGCCTGGAAGCTGCCTTTAATTAGGGCTAATTACAGTATGCCGCGATCGGGGGGCTCCAGCGCACAAAATCGGGGGGCTCCGGAGCAGAAAATGGGAGGTATCCGGAGCAGAAAATGGGGGGTATCCGGAGCAGAAAATGGGGGGTATCCGGAGCAGAAGATGGGAGGTCTCCGGAGCAGAAAATGGGAGGTATCCGGAGCAGAAATGGGAGGTATCCGGAGCAGAAAATGGGAGGGCTCCGCCGGACAAATGGGAGACCCACCGCTGGGGATACGCCGCGACCCTGCCACTTCTCCGGCGGAGGGGTCCGATCCGCTGTCTGAGCAAGTTTGATTTGCTTTGAAAAATCAGCTTTTTAGAATTTTCGTACTTTTATGTGGTAAACGTCATCAAAAAGGCGCGGTTTTTATTAAATAAATAATTATACCGGACTTGATAAGCGTCGCTTATGTAATCTAAAACAATGTAGCCAAAGACTTGCTCTACATACCGGTTATCAACGCTCTTTGAAAACATCAGAGTAAAAATTTTCAAAATCCAGGAAAAGTTTGGCCTTACTGCTGAGCTGTTCAAAAAGCCATGGCGATAACATTCCTGAAAAAAGGTAGATCAGAGAGCAAACGTAGTTGTAAGAAAGAGGATAAAAATCTGAATCAAGTGGTACCTAAGTCGTCCATGGATTGGTGTTCAGTGGGTTCTAGCGAGCGATGAAAGAAACGGACAAAATTTTCAGGACAACCTAGTATTTACGTATACTGACATAGTGCCCTCAGTGCGCTTTTCCCCTTATCTTATATCAATGCGTGACAGTGGCCCCAGGAATTCCGTTCAGAGTGAGGACGACAAAAATTTATTCCTAATAAATGAACGTGGCGTTAGCCACGCACTACGAAAATTCTTTTGAAATGTCCCAAAATTTTGCGGGCCATGACTCCGAAACATTAAAAAAGGAGCATGGCGGCAGCCACGCACCTAAGACCGAAGAAATTTTCTTACAAGGTTTATTTTTTATCTGATTATTTACAAGTATACAAGTCATTAGCACATTTTCATGAACCATGTGAGCAACTTTCAAAAATCTCACGACTTACTCAGAGCTCCCCCTTTCCCCCCTCCCCCTCCCCCCCTCCCCTCCCCAAAGATTGAGTCGTGAGATATACCCTTGGGATCGCTATTGCTCCGTAGGGCTCAGGATGAATAGGGTTAGAAATCTTTTGCAGGATTCATCATCAATGCGACCTTTTTTGTACCACTATGTAATCACATAATCTTCATTTCTTTAACAAACTCCATCCAAAACTGCAGAAAAGCCCAAGACGTCTAGAAGGCTTTCGAGCAGTGTTGGTTTTTCTTTCTTGTGACCAAATTTGGAACCAGATTTTTCGCAAAAAGAAAAACTTCATCTGCCTGTGACATTTTCACCTTTTGTGACTCTCACAAATAATTTTGGTCTCTATGAGTTTAGCAAAGCTAGCAAAATCGAACTCTGCAAAGATAGCAAAAGAGTGTGTATTAGAACAAGGTTAAAGTTTGCTCAATTTTTCGGAATTTTATGGATCTTCCAGCTGTATTTTCAATAATGACGATTTTGTGGACGTAGTGAATGACCATGGTTGAAAAACTTGCTAATTTTCCCTAGTGATCTACAGATTTTAGACTTCAGCGACTTATGTGTGATTTTTTATAGCTTTCTGCTTCATCATAATCAAATGCGACAGCTTCAAAAACATCGAAGTTTCAGTGTTCAAGAGTTTTTTTCCCAGAAAATTCGCAGCTTTGCTAGCTTATCAAACACGCTTGGAAGGAGCACAACTTCCTCTTCATTAGGCATGTCAAATCTTTCAAATATTCACCTTGGGGAAGTCAGAAAACGACGAAAAAATAGGAAAAAATCTTGAGGTGTTAAAAGTCTTAAGCCGGTCTTCACCATCTGAAATTGAGAGCCTTTTCCTTTGCTTTCAATATTAAAAAGCGACAGGGAATGTCCTGCAATGTCATTATGCCGTTGATAGCACAATTTTTTTTTTTACAAAAGTTCAAACGTTGCATAACCTTACCAGCTGATTTTGTCAATCTCGAAAATCTTTTTCAAGGCTAATCAATCATTTCATTGACTTGTGTAATTTTGCTCAAATTCTGTACGTTTATTATTACTTTTTTAAAGACTCGAGAAGACATGAACAGCAGCAATTTCATCACGAGAAGCAGTTCTTCGTAGCAAGATGAAACGTCGACAGATGCAAATTCGCCGTTTTGGATAACAGGTGATTTTCAGCTGCGACTTAGAAATGTGCTTTAGAGCCTTGCGTATGCTTTCTGGTATTCTATCTAGTGTATTTTCTTGTTAACATAGATTAAGATTATTTTCTCATTTGAACCGAGCTTGTGAACAGTTTTTCAAATTTTTTTCTGTGAACATCATATCACCTCTTCGCTTTCGTTTTCCAATATAGAAAGGTAAACATAAACCATTTCTAAACCACTCGGCCCTCATGCCAATGTTCTTTTCTTACTACTGTAATGTTCTTCTTTCTTTTCTCTGTATGTAGGCATTTTGTGGGACATTATATTTGCTCTATTATTTTCGGTTCCATGGATATCGCTGATAGAGCTGATCACATACAGTTTCGTAAAAAGAAAGTGTCACTCATAATGCGTGCCGTAAGAACAAGCGAACCGGATATCAAGAAAAAAAAACCTTTATGCTTGTCTTACATCCTCGAAAGTGTCACTACCGCAATCAAGCAATGTCTGATACATTCGCAGCTTGAGAAAGATGTCGTTTTAGTGAATATCCCACAAGACAACATCAAAAAGCAATTAGCGCGGTAGATCATGCGAAAGTGCCTTTGTCCAAAATCCCGTAGTTCGCCCATACGGAAGAGCTGGAGATTGCGTAAAGTCTGACGTATTGTATCAAATTGAATGCGTATAGTGCTCCGCCACCTATATAGGTCAGATCGGACGGCCATTGAGTGTGCGCATTAATGAACATTCGGTTATAAGAAGCGGCAAATCATAATAAGTCCTCTCGGAAAACATAGAATGATAGAGCAGTACTGATTACGAGATTGGGTGCAAAATTTTGGCTTATGAACATCAGATTTCTGCCCGTAAGGCCTTATAAGCTCTACGTCCTTGCAGGCGATCTCAAACTAAATGGCAAATGAGAAATCATCTCCAACGGGATTACTTGATGTCGTATCTAGTGATATAGTTTGTGGGTGGTTTTGCCCTGATACTCCTTACTTCTACCTTAGATGAATCGAATGATAAGTGCGGGGAGTTATTTGACGGCTAAGTACTACAATATCAAGGTGACCGACGCCTTTTCAGCCTCTAAGAACAGCGTCAAGCCAAGTCAGGTACTGAAAACGTATCATCCATACCAACCTGTACGACACAACAAAAACTGAAATAGTTTTACTCATTTTCTCAAAGTGCGAAAGTGAAAGGTTGCAGTTGTTAGATTAACAGTAGGTCATTCTGGCCGAGTGGTCTAAGGCGCTGCGTTCAGGTCGCAGTCCTCTTCGGAGGGCGCAGGTTCGAATCCTGCGGATGACAGAGACTTTTGCCCATTCAAAACAGCTACCTTGTGGGCGTATATTATGCGAAAGTCCTCTGAGAAATATTTTCGCAGCTGAAAAGAGAACTTAGTGACATGAAATTAGTGATTTTTCTATTTCAGATTTGGGCGACCATGTTGAAGAAAGAAGTAATTCTACTTCTTCTTCTAATCGTTGACGTCAATGCGCAAACGAAGACAACAACTAAAAGTGCGAAAACAACAGCAAAAACTATAAAGACAACGAAGAAGGCAACAACAACGACGACTCCCGACTATTATTACTATCTCTACAGTGATTATGATGGTGGTTACTTCTGAAGTACAAATTTAGAAAAATGTCCATCATGGATAGGAGAACAAAGCACATTTCTGGAATGATATCCACGAAAGTCCCCGCGAAATGGGCTTTTCGTGCGAATAAAATGGACTTACAAGGGAAGGATACTCGGTCGAAGTGGCCATTTGGAATGAGCTGTATATTAGGAAACCGTCCTCCGTAAGGCAAACTCAAAACTACTTTCGCTAGGTGCCGAGCGGTTTTGTGGGGGGAGTTACAAGGCCATTTTCCTCCGGCGCAGCCAGCGCACCCAGTAATGAGCAAGGCGCTAGAATAACTCACCAGTGTGGCAGTGGCGCAGTGGCAACGCAGCGGACTACGAAGCAGATGATCGAGGGTTCGGGTCCTGTTGCTGCTATTTTGTTTTGCAGTTCTGTAAAAAGTTCATTGGGTGACAGCAAACGAGAAATACTATTTCTAGGCAGTTCAAACAAGCTATTTACTGCAAAAAAGTCACTATTTCTACAATAAGCCATAATCTTTTACAATATGTAAATCTGTGGAGGTTATGATGTCACAACAATGGGTTCAAATGATATATTAACATGTATGGAATACAACCACAAAACGCACAAAGCAGAAGAGCTTCTCGCAACGCGCGCATTTGCAAAATTGCAATCGATTCACATCCCATTTATTGGCTCTTGATCTGAACTTTACCTTGCATCATAGGAATTCCTTCCTTAAAATCTTATCGCTCATTTACACACAATTTTGCTCGCCGCGATTCAAAAATTTGCTTTCATACCCATGGATGCAGCCGGATACATTGACAACCACCCCGGCGAATTCGAGTCTCCTATTCAGTACTGTTTTTCACCGACTTTGATAGACAATTGTGAAGCTGCTGATTGTCATCGTTTAATTTTATCCGATGTGCGCGTTGCGAGAAGCTCTTCTGCTTTGTGCGTTTTGTGGTTGTATTCCATACATGTTAATATATCATTTGAACCCATTGTTGTGACATCATAACCTCCACAGATTTACATATTGTAAAAGATTATGGCTTATTGTAGAAATAGTGACTTTTTTGCAGTAAATAGCTTGTTTGAACTGCCTAGAAAAAGTATTTCTCGTTTGCTGTCACCCAATGAACTTTTTACAGAACTGCAAAACAAAATAGCAGCAACAGGACCCGAACCCTCGATCATCTGCTTCGTAGTCCGCTGCGTTGCCACTGCGCCACTGCCACACTGGTGAGTTATTCTAGCGCCTTGCTCATTACTGGGTGCGCTGGCTGCGCCGGAGGAAAATGGCCTTGTAACTCCCCCCACAAAACCGCTCGGCACCTAGCGAAAGTAGATTTGAGTTTGCCTTACGGAGGACGGTTTCCTAATATACAGCTCATTCCAAATGGCCACTTCGACCGAGTATCCTTCCCTTGTTAGTCCATGCGGTGCGATAAGATATCGCAATCGCGAATTCATTCATTTTATACAAAAATGCTTCAGCAAACCTTTCCCCAACTTGTCTCAACCTGTTTACTCACTCTTGCGAACTCATTTCCACCAAGTGGTTGATATCTAATTAGGCTGAGTTAAAACATTGTCAGTCACTTGGATATTTTAGTCTTTCCCACTTCTTTACACCCTCACAAAATGCCATTTATTATCGATGACTATGCATCTAAATTACCTCCAAGAATAAAATCCATAATCCGGGCTTCGCTTCTCGAGACTTCTATGGATCTGCATTAAATCAAATTCGTATGTAAAGCTCTCTGCGGAAAGCAAACTTTGGCTAGACTGCACTGCAATCTATGAATCAAAATACTTATCTTATAAAAAACCTTGTACTACACTACAACCCAAGGTTTAAGTCGGAAAAACTACGAATCTGCAAGAGATGACTTCGCAAACGTTCTACTTTAGCTCTTCTTTGTCTCTCACCACTAATGTTTATATCTCTAAGTTGTTGACTGTATGGACTGTTGCTAGTAGGAGATTTTTCACAGAATTTTTTGCTAGCTAGCACCAATCAGTATTTCTTGCGACCAAACCCAAAATCGCGAATTTTGTAATGCCGTCTTTGAGGGAATTTTGCGAGATTAGTAAGAAGATAGCTTCTGAGTAACTATTTTGAAAGGCAAGTCATCTTTTACAAATAAAAACCATGAACTTAGTTTTGGTTGATGTAAGAGTCAACATACTTTATCAGAATTACTCAGGAATTTTTGCATTGACCTGATATTTGGAAGCAGAGTTTGTTAACGAAAATCTTGGAGAATTAAACATTAGTGCATGATTTTCATAGCGTTCATATGAGTTCAAAATAAAACACTTATATCAGACGCCACAAAAGACGTGAAACTTTTTCCTCTCACTTGTTGCATCAAAATAGGCTAAGGAACACCTTCTCAAAAAATCGCAATCAAAAATATGCAAAAAGCTCAAAAATGGGCTTAGTCCCAGCTCACCTTGCTGCCGGAAGTAAAATGGGCTTTCAAGTGGAGGTAAATCCCATTTTGCCCATTCGAAATGGACTTTTCGCATGATTCTTTCGCAAGCGAGAACTCAAGTAGGGTTGAATCATTTTCATCACACCACTTTGCCGCGTGGTTGCGATGAAATAAAATTTTTTGGATAACCTAGCGGAAGTAGATTTCGACCAGTTTCAACCGCGAACGAATAAAATGGAGTTTTCAAGTCTATTTTCCTCCATTATGGACTTTCGTGAATATCATTCCTGGTCTAAATAAAAGTGTCCCAAAAATTTGCCTATTGTTTGATTGCTAATAACCCTCTTGTCATGAAATATTTCGAGAAATTTCAGATACCATTTCGTAAAGTTGGCTTCAACTGAGACTTGCCATACAGAGCGAAATATCGTTCTCCTTTCGTTACTGTAGGATTAGGGTAGGAATTTTGAAGAACTTCCGCATCATTGAGGGCCATATTCACCCTCAGAAAAGACTAAAGATGCTAAGTTCCTATACCAGGTCAATCGGAGCAACTGTTCAAAATATGAAACCTCACAGCTGCACCATATGCTGCGAGCTCCTACCGTAATACAGTAATGAAGAGAGGTTGATTATTCACTCCAAATGTGAATCTAAGCTGAAGCCAACTCTACAAATAGTACGTGAACCTTCTTGAAAAAATCTCATGACAAAAGAGTGCAACAATCAAACAGTAGGCACATTTTTGGACACCGTGAAAAGCTCTGACATCCGTGGCTAATTAAAATGGTGTTGAAGCTGCTTCCTAATTCCCCCTATGTTTATCAAGACCGAAGTTTTCACATTCATAGTGAACCGCTTCTTATTAAGGGTTAATCATTGTTCGGAAACGAGTCACCTAGCAACGCAGAATCATTTTGCGAATCATCGCAATCTTTCACCTTTGAATGCGTATGAAAAAGCGTTCAATTAGTTTTTTTGCATCTGTCACCTTTAGATGGCATAGCATTACATTCGCTCTGATTTTGGAACTTTCACCAGAACCAGTGATCACTACCATTTTGCTAGAGCAACGCTCACGAGTAGTTTTTGCAGTTGTCTAAGCTCACATAAAGAGATATTTGCATTCATAAAAAGTTTTGTATAAGAAAAGACTGATGCCGTCATCCACGTGTTACACGTCCAAATAAGCATAAGCCTGTCAAAATAACGCTGAAATTTTTAAGAATTGATCTAAATAATATAACTTTTCTATTTTTTGAGTTTAGTGAAAGACATACTCAGACAGTTGAAGCGTGCAGCGCGCGCGCAGTCACACGGTGGCGCAACACCCAGTGCGCGGATGGCGGGACATTCGTTGCCGCGCCGCTGGTGCTGGCCCGCGGATGGCTGCATTTTTTCAGTTTTTCGTTGCGCTGTGTACGCAGGTCTTGATAATGAACTCCACACTTCATACGTCAAAGAATGTGAATTCGTAGTTGAATCCAAGATTTCAGATTCAGCATCCATTCGCCATGCTACCGAAGGCTAACGCTTGGAAGCAAAACACAACTTCTTCCTCGACTAATCATACACTGAGATCTAATACCTAACCTCTTGAATGATAGGGCAGCCTAACCACTGCGTCGTACACTACGCGGGTATCCTTTATGCTTACAGCATGTGATAATTGCAGGGCGCGGGCAGCACGGGTAGAGTATAAAGGCACGCGCGCGGTGTGCTACAAAAGGCGCGCGGGCCGCGAGATCGAGCATAAACCTAGCGCGCGGGTCGCGGTTTGGCCATTAATACGCGCGCCGCACGCACCGAATGTCTAGGATGGCACGCGTTTGGCGTACTGCTGGACACGCCCACAAATAAGGCACGCGCTTTGCCACATTGACCATAAACGCGCGCCGCACGCTCCAAGTGTCTGAGTATAAATAACTCTATGTATGGATGTTTAGACGTTCATCTGATGAATGTGCGGCTTTTTCTAATTATTCTGTGCGTCGTAACTTTTACTTTTCGCCCATCCATTCGAGGTATTTGGCGATCAAGAAATAGCGAACTCTGTTGAATTCATCTGACGTCAAAAATTTTAGATTTCATAAGTAGATGGCACTGTTAATATGTGGTTAGACAATTTGGGACAATAAAACTTCTTTAAATGTTGGGGAGCTAGCAACCAACTTTTAATATAACCTAGTTTGACTTATGATTTCCTCCCCTTAAAGATATGGACAAACCAGTGGATCCAAATCGAACTGTCTATGGAGTGGTGATTTGTGTTTCCGCCGCTGCATGCATTCTTCTTCTATATATGGCACTGTTTGGAAGAAGAATGCCACGGACAGCTATCAGATGGCATGTGATCAATTGCTCTTGGTGGAGCCTTATACACCTGGTAAGCGACATTAAAAAATTTTGCTTTTAAAGGCACCGTCCACCCTAAGTTGAGGGTGTTGAGCTTTTGGCAGCATATAATGTTGGGGCCCCCTAGTAATCCAATGCCCAAGTCACGGCGCCAAATGCCGCTTCGGAAGCGAGAAAATCGCTTCGGAATAGCGAAGGGTACTTTTCCGTTATCCGGACCCATTTTTTCAAAGAAGGATTTTGCTTTTTTTCTTCTACCATATTTGGTGCCAAATTCACAGGAAGGAGTGTCAACCTTCTGCCACGTGTTAAGAAAATTTGACATGTCATCTACATGTTTACCAACCTTTTATTTTGCACTACCTAACGACGTAAATTTTATCTGTATTTGAGTCGGTAATGACCCCATTTTCAGATAAAGGAAATAAAGGATTTCAGAAATGAACGCTTATAACGTCATCCTGTTGTCATTGAACAGATCAGATTTGCCCACAATGGAGAATTGTGCTAAGATTCCATTATCCATGCGGCGAAACAAGCAGCAGCGAGATACCGCAGGCCGTCATTTATAGTCTTTCCTGACTAAATTCACATGGCGGAAAGTTTGAAGAAGAAGACAAGTTTGAATTATTGCTGAAAGCAATTGAGATGTTCTGCGATAACTTTTGAACAGTTTTGCTTACATAGAAAACATTTGAAGAACTTTTAAGCGCAAGCGGTCACCAAACGCTTTTTTACCTCACCGGAAATGATTTCGAAAAAACAAGTCAAAATGGACTAAAACGTGTCAAATTTTTCGTGATACGTGGCGGGGAGGTAGTCTACGTAAAATCTACAAACAATTATTCTTGGATGAAGACCATATGTTTTGAGAGCCTTTTGAAAAAACGGGTCCGGATAACGGAAAAGTACCTAGCGAAGATGCATGAGGACCCCATCCATGCCCGCCCCTTTGTGCGCGTCCATCCAATCACCGTTCCGGAAAGCCGGCCTGTGGGTTCTCCAGAACGGGGATTTTCGGGGTTTTCGAGCAATCTTTACTTCATATTTGGAATCAGGGGCATGAGAAGGCCCTGGAACGACAAAAACCTGGAAGTCGAAAATCTGGGTGGACGGTGCCTTTGAACCATAACGAAAGTAATGGCATGGATATGGATAATGGATCGGAAAATTGAGTTTGTAAGTGCAAAATTGGACAATAAACAAACATGGGTTGGTGCAGTTTCATAGTTAGGACATCATGCCAGTCGCTTCGGGGTTACACCTAGTCTCCACTTGACGATAGACGGTATTTTATGAGAAGTCCGGGGAAAGATCAAGAATGATGCTCATTCTGTTGCCTCTGCCTATCTCTTTCGGGTCCAGTGCTTGACTCCGCGGTGCAAGCATTTTTCATAGTATGGAAACCGGAAGCACTAGTTGCTGCGCTACTTGGCGACGGTTACGGTAGTCGCTACGTGAATTGCCGAATCACCTCCGGACTACTCCTTGCCTTGGCACGTTGCCGTTCAAACGACCACGTATAGCGACAGCGCCTCATTTCAGCGTACGATATCATTCGTATACGATTCGTATAAATTGTAGTGATCTCACATTGTGCTCATGCATATAGGATGAATTGCTCGGAATCTTTTCTGCGTCAAGCAGTTGAGGGAACTCTATGAATTTGGTTGCATTTTGGACACTCTAACAATAAGCTTCTCTTGGGACATTTTGTCGGATTCTAGTGAGCATTAAAGACCCTTGGGAGTGAAGAGGCAGTCATGTCGTGTCTGTGCCTTGGTAACACGCCGCGGATCTGTTAGATGAAGCCTGGACAATTCTGTGTATATGCGCAAGTAGACTCACTATCGGTGACATCCGACGAGGCAGCTCTTTTTTCGGTAGTTAAATAGTATGTTTCTTTTAATACTGTAGGTATCGTTCTTTCGACGTCAGTACGATAAACTATCGGTAATTACCTCTTGCCTGGAAGCTAAGAATAAGGCACTGGCATTTTGGTTATAGGGGCAAGTCTTTTCGGATAACATCTAGGTGCTTCGGACACCCAGTAGCTTACTGCTTTCATCGATTTAAGGCTTCGTATGGTTCATATGCTGAGAAAGCACCATGGCCAGAATACATCAAATTGCCGGGATGGAGTGAAAATGCTAGAGGAGTTGAACTTTTTTCCAGGTCGATTTTCCCATGTGGTGAGTGGACGTTTAGAAAATGAGTACAAACCTAAATAGTCTCATTCAGGCATATTTTTCGTTTATATTGAGATGATGATATTGGTCTGTGTCCCACGACTAATTCATAATTGGGTATTTAATCTTATCTTCTTCATACTTGTTGTTCCAGTGCTCAACTTTATAGTACTATTTTGTTTCTTCGCAAAGGTTCGTCATGCACCGAAGTTTCAAATCTGATAGAATCGCGCATATCCTCTTTGACATAAATTTCTCCATGAACACCATGGAAACACATCCATCAATCTCTTGTTTGCGCGAATTATGTTCCAGTTGCTCGCAAATCTCTTTTGGCAATTTTTGCAGGCGCTAGTAGGGCTGCAATTATGACTGGTAATATATAAAAATCTGTTCAAAGTTTTGTTAGAATACAATCTACCTCCTTGTTTTAGTGGATGGCTGTGGAATGGTTTTATAGACCTATCGACTTTCTAAACATATTTACATATTTTCTATTTTGTATCATGACTTTGATCTACTTTATATTTTGTCTTTTTGGCACATGCCTTTGCTGCCATACCGTTACATCAAGAAGAAAACAAAATGTGTGAAAATCTACAATAGCTCATTGTTAGTTCTTCACAGGGGTTAACCTTTTGTAGAGAAGCGTATACACTTTTGTTGACATGTGGCTGCTCTTTATATACGGTTTAATTCCAAACATCATGTACGGACCATCATTCGGCTTCACATCTGTGGAATTTGTCTTCAAATTTTTCTCCGACTGGTTTGAGCAGATAAGTGGTGGAGGAGAAGGAGAAGGAGAAGGTGGACTTGGAGGTGGGTTTTAGTGTCGCTGCGAATTCATAAATAAACTTCACCGTAAAAATTGATGAAATTTCACTTATTTCGATTCCTAGAGTGAGCAGTAAATTTGAAAAACCGCAAGTGTCTGCTTAGGAATAATAGACATGTCTATGATCTTTCACATCATGACGGGCATATTGAATGCTCTACCGTGGCTCGTCCTACTGTTCCCTCTTGTTCAGGTTATACTTGCTATCATTTGCATAAAATCATTCCGACAGCAGGTAAGTAATGTTTCAAAATTAAAAGATTTAGGTTTTAACAATTTTCGCAGTTCTTCTTTCTCTTCACTTGTGGGCGAGTATATAGCGGTTCACCTGCAAAAACTCCAAATAGTGAGAAAGAACGGGCGTTAGAAGGTACCATGGTTTCTATTCAACTTAATAACTATATCATCAGCAAGTCCTTAATTCAGGTTCAACCCAATCTTTACCTGGATCGATAGAGACCGTGATGATAATAGATGAGAAGAGATGAATATGGGATCAAAAACGAATGGAGAGCTTTGACGCTATAGGTGTTAATAAAAGAGTGTTACTACACCTTAACTTCTACTAGTGCACTGATTCTGACAAATTGATGTTTGTAAATAAAAAGCCACAAAGAATACAGACGTTAAGTTCCTGATATGCACCTTACATTTCTGCAGTTAGAGAAGCTTTTCTGAGATGCAGTTAAGTTTTTGAGATGTAGGCCTTATGCTTGAAGTCTCTGCGGCGAGGATGGCGGGGAGGGCAAGCGTTAGGCTACAAAACGTGCAAAACGCAATCAACGTAAAGCCGGTAAGTCGAAATGCGCCATTTTTTTTTTGATGTCGTCGAGTAATGTATCGACCCCGACCCCACCCCCTGTTTTTGGCGGAGGAGACGTTTTGCACGGGGGGTTTTCTAGGGTCCAAATAATCGGGTTTGCCGCCTAACGCCTTACACTCCCTACCGAGAGCTTGCAAAGGATGCAGAGAAGCGATAAAAGAAGACTTCAAGGAGAAAAGAGCAGCAGTTTTGATGTCACGGAGACTGGAAGTATACACATACCTGCCAACGTTTGTCAGCTTGAAGATAAGGATGAGCACACTCCGCTGCCCCCGCTGCCCTCCTATCAACCGCGAATTAACCTCTGTCAGTGATCGTCAGATGTAAATAACCTTGAAGAACCTGAATCAACCACTCCACATCAGGATTTTACGGTCCTCTTTTGAGCGGCCCTATTGTTGTCAAAACGCGTTTTCTCATACCCTTCGTTCATCTGGGGGATACGTATGTGCACAAAATTTACAGAAATCGTCTTGTTTTTCAGTAACTATTTTCAGCTCGGCATTCCACCCTCGAGCCCTGATTTTGCGTTGCGAGGTCGGCGGTTGGTTGATACGCTTGGTTGTGTGGTTATCTTTCAGGTAAATTACAGGTTAGAACTGAATACTCATAAATCAACTCGATGGGCTAGGACCAATAATTATCGGCAAAGATGAAACTTGCAACTTAACCCGACTCTCAAATTGATTTCTCGAAAAAAAAACGTGAGAATTACTCATGAACGTATCAAGAAATTATATATCTATTTCACATTTTTCGTATAAGATGACTAATTACACTGAAGAACAAATGTCAACATTGTAATAAAAGAATTAATTTTTACAAAAACATAGGCTGCACAGAAAGGATTGCTCATTGTGAGGTTCATACGACAATAACAATTGAGGAGCAACATCAAAGTAAAGGTGACAGTGTGTGCAAACAAACGAGGAACATAATCCATACAAGACGCAAAATGTGCTATGCATTCAGATATAGGAAAAGGAACCGGATGACTAGAGCATTGAATCATGGAGATAAGTAGACCATAAACAACGCGCACTATCAACAAAAATTTACGATCTTAATTCCCTGTATTTCTTCGAAATGAAACATGAGAGATAGTTATGAAGATATGATTGAGCAAATAGGTAAAATCAGTTTACCAGGAAAGCTTTTTTTCGGGTCAGAATTGTTAAATGTGCATGGATGGGAGCAGCTTAAAACGCTTACTGCAAATCCGTTTCACATAACTGCTGAATGCCTCTAGGAGCATCTGAACAAAGTATGCGTAGGTAAGAAATTGAAATAGACTACGGTGCTCAAAGTGGGGCAAGTGCTTAGAACTATTTGTTACCGTAGCACATCCGTTTTTGACAATTAAAAAATATTTTACTTTTCCTGGCTACACACAGGGTTTTAGAATCGTTTGAAGTCTGTTCATAGGAGGATGTTCAGCAAAATGGAAGACATATTCGTAGCCAACAGTCTTTGCTACTTCTGAGCACGTGAGAAAAATGGCTATCAACAAAAATGCTTTCCTGTAGTAGGAAAAGATGGTATTTATAACTGACTGTGAAATTAGAGCGGGCATGCGGCTGCGAGAACAATGGCTCTAATTATGTAAGACAACAGATAATTCGAGAAAGTACGCGGGCACCAGACTGCATTGATTTTCAAAAGTTTCAAGTTATGAGCATGCTGAATACGAGGCTAATCAAGTTGTTCGTTTCCGTGATAAAGTCGCCTGCACGAAATCGCCCGGGTTGCTATAGGCTGAACGCACGCGAGCGTGCCTGCAACGCGGCTATCGAGTACGGGTGCTATGATGACTCATGCGCGCGAATGCCAATGTTAGCACGCAAGACACACGCGCGCGGGTGCTCAGTCCGGGCGATTCTGTGCAGTCAACTATACCGGCAACTCAGTCGCTTTACCTTTGTCCTTTCTTGAGAACTTAACCTTGCTTTTTTAAGGGTCGCGAAAGAAAGTGAATAGGCTGCCTTACGCAGGCATAGAAGAGCTCCTTTGGGATCAAACCCTTACATTCTTCCACAGCGCAGAAAAAAGTTACTAGGATACCGAACCATGTGAGATTGCACAGCAAACCTTGATTTACCGAGATCGGGGCATGTGCTAGTCCTTGACTTGCAAAAAAGTCTCGCTTTAATGGAAGCATCTTTCAATGTAATCTCACTTCCCTTTCGATCCCCAGTGTTAGTGAAGGAATTTACTTCAATCAAAGGTATGATGATTTCTCTATATAGCTGATATGCCAAGTAGTCCTTTCACGTACAATTTGCGAAAGTTCGAGAATTTGAAGTTTTTGTGCCAACAAGAACTCCAAAGGAAATGTGTTTAGCGCACCGAATTAAATGCGAAAATGGTGGCTAAGCCAGGTCTATCCTAACTGTGTTGTGTCGTGTGTTCGCGATCATGTGGTCATCATCTAATTTCGCATATGTGAAGTTTGCCAGATCGTCCGTAACTACGTCCATGAACGATTACGTGAATTAAAATTCGGAATAATAGTTTCGATTGCTCTGTAACGTCACCAGATCGTCATCGTCGACGTAGTGCATGGTGCCTGACTCGATAGCTCGCCAGTAGTTTGAGTTCATCCAACCACGATCAACCTGCAACGAATAAATTTCTTTCATGAAAAGTGCTTTTTGTCAAAGAGTGTTAGCGCAAGAGATGAAACATTGTTAGTTAGATGAAGAAATAGCATAGTGAAGAGTATAGAAAACGATGATTCTCTCACGTAAGTACGGACTACGAGATGCTTCGAACTTGGTGGAGATCTCTGTTCCTAGAATTGATGTAGAGTTTTTTTTGAGATTGATTAAATAGATTTATAGATGTTGACGCGAGCCTAATACGAATATTGATATTGATCAAATTTGTTTGTCCCAAATATGCACCATTTGTTTGACACATTCACGCAGGCCATTTTTCCTACTTCTGTCATTTTGGAACAGAGCGTAGTTCCAAAAATTAAGTCCACCGTCAAGTCGCATGGTCCGTAATAGTAGTGTTCTAGCTAAATCTTTACGTAGATGTCTCCAAACATCTGCCAAATTTTCACGAAGTTCCATTAATAATCAGCGTAGATTAGAACTACAGTGTGCTGTCGTGAAGGTGTTAATCTAATTCACAAATAATTTCACATGGAAACCAACAATTCTGGACACTGATAAGTCTTAAACAAGCACCTAATTGGTGTGGTTGGTAGATTTGTGTCCACCAATTCCGACCTCTGTAAATGTGTCCTATTAGGTTGGAAAGAGTTCTCGGAGATTTTCGGACTAGATCTGCTATTTCTCGAAACCTAATGCATGTACATCCGATAGAGATACCATTCGATAGAGCAAAGCAAGCTCTTCAAGATGGCATGCAAAAGTTCGCACCAACTTCGCCTCAGCGTAAGTTTGCATCCAGAATCTGTGTCGTACTGAAGGCTCAAAAATCGCGAAAAATTCATATCTTCGTTCAAAAAAATCCTACGAATCTCCAACTTGCTCAGACAAATTGCACACCACATCAGATACTCATATGTTTCATTCCTGTATTTTTTCCTCATCTAGAAATCGAGAAAACGGAAATTTTCATGCATATAAAAAAACGAAGCTACGTTGCTCCCACTCGTGTAATTGTATAGTAGAAGCTCGTAGTAGCATAAACGTAAATTTTCAGCTTTGTACAGGCCCTAGCTTCCAAAAATTACCGAATTGAGCTTTCCTCACCTGGATGCTCCATGCTAAAATCAATATTTTTTGAAAACAAGAGCTTGCGAAAAGCTAAAAATTTACGCTATACTTCTAAAGGCTTCTGCTATACAATTACACGAGTGGGAACAGCGTAGCTTCGTTTTTTTAAATGCAAGAAAATTTCAGTTTTCTTGGTTTCTAGATGAAGAAAAATACAGCAAAAACATATGAGTGTCTAATATGGTGTGCTACTTGTGTGAGCAAGTTAGAGATCCGTAGGATGCTTTTGAACAAAGATACGAATTTTTCCCAATTTTTCGAACCTTTAGTACGACTCAGAATCTGGATGCAATACGGTGGATCAAAGCTGATGCACACTTTTGCACACCATCTTGTAGAGCTTGCTTTGCTCTGTCGAATGGTACCGCTGTCGAATGTACATGCAATAGGTTTCGAGAAATAGAACATCTAGTCCAAAAATGTCCGAAAACTTTCTTTCCAACCCAATATATGGGCCAAATACTGACTTATAACTCCTAAAAATGCGGTCGACTAATTCCCTCTGACCATCCAATGACCGTATAGAAGAGAGGGAGGACCCGGTGGAAAAAGCCATGGCTGGTGCTCCATATGGAAGTCAGAAGGAGATCCAGCGAAGCCAGCCTTAGCCTTTTCTTTTTTTATACTACCAGCTAGAATCAAGCGTCGACAAGATCGAAAACTGCGTGGACTTACTTGTGCTGTTTTTGGTGCATCCTTTAGTTTAATTAAAACCAGCTTGAATAAACAAGGATTCGCTTCACATATTCGGATGCGTCATTACGCATTTCATTTGTGTAAAGCGATTATTTGTCTAGTATCAACCTACATAAGCAGGGTGGATGGAAGATAGAATACATCGAATTTACTTTTGTTAGAGAATTGCTTTCATAGAAAGCTGATTGTATGCCTCCTCCTTAGTAAATTTGATCTAATTTCCCTTGCAAAAGATAAAACCAGTGAACTTTTCATACTTACCCTCAGAGTTGCCAGTTCGCCTTGCTCGACTTTGATGGCATTATCGACAAATTGTTCCAAATTGAGATTATCTAGTTCGTCGAGAGGTACGTTAAATTGATCGCCAAGATTTTTTACAAGGGCTTTCATCGAGATCCTGAAAAGGATGGTGCGCGATTCACAGTGAGCTTCTTACCTTGCACATTACTTACTTTTTCCCTCCAAACCATACTTGCACATTAGCAACGTTTTCGACCTTTCGACCAAAGTAATGCAGTTTTTTCAGCGTATCAGCAGCGATTTCGATAGCTATTGTTGTCAACGCCAGCCCTATGGTACAGTATACGAGTGTGATCACCTAAAATGCAGTTGTCTCTAGGGGAAGATGAGGAGTGGTGTTTGGACATGTACCAAATAAGTGTCGCTTTGCGGTACCAAATCTCCCAAACCTATCGTAGTAAGTGTTACAAAATTGAAGTAAACGGCCTAAAAGAGAGGGATTTGAAATGGTTGACTGTGAGTAGTCGGACACTAACCTCAAACATATCCATCTCGGGCTCATATGCAGCTATAACCGCAGAGCCAGCAATGATGTACATTAAAAAGGCTATGAATAGCACTATGCCATCGGACGTGTTATCATCCTCTTCGTCGAGTTCGGACTCAGCATCCGAAGAAGCATCGTCATCTCCTGTCTTCGTCTAAAACACGTGCAGATCAGGATCATGCGGTTAACAAATGTATGTAGTGTGATATGGCCTGCAAAGAGACACAAAATCCGATTTAGTTGTGGAGCATTACTCCCGCGAGAGTGTTTCTACTGCCATACACTTTCATTTTGGTTTTGATTTGGACACCGACACAAATTTTCGAGCTCGTGGTCTAGTACGGTGAGGTTACCTTTCTCCTAGCTTTCTAATATTTGTTGATCGATAAGCGTCATAAGCTGGAATGCATCTCGCAAGAAAAAATAATCGGTTAAACATGTAAATACAAGTTCAAACAAGCACTTTAACTGGGGAGACGGTCGAATGGCGCGTATTCATTGATTGTTACTAAGTGGGAAAACAAGAAATAAGTTCAGATTCAACTTGCTATTCTCGTATACTGAATAATTATATTTAGTTACACCTCCTGATGTACTGACAAAAATCTCGGAATCTGGAAGCCTCGTTTTCGTAATGGATCCAGTCTTGGAGTGACGGCTGCCAAAACGCGCGCCATTCGACACACACCCCTTTAATTGAATCAGGCCCTAGCTTTGACTTGAATACACATGTCAACATATTAAAGCTTATCAGTCAAGAATGACGTGGCCGTACAAGTTAACAAGGATCAAGTTATATAAATACTAAAACGACGAATATTATATGACATCTTTCCACAGAACTTTCGATATAGGGTTCGAACAACATGTATCCTGTTAGGAACGACAAGCCTTCTAAACCATCAAGAATCTGCCTGAGATCGATATTCTGAGTTCCACTCAAAAGTTTTCATGTGCTTGGCAGTTTTTTAGGTTAGTTCACTGTATTAATGCATGCTGAATCTTTTTAATTGTTCTTTTCGACTCTAGAATAAAGTTTTGAATATCAAGCTTGAGGTGCAACTTGAGGATCCTCGTGGCAACATAATCGATCACACGAATCAGCAAATCATCGTTTCGCTGCAGGTATACCGTGGCAGATATCCTAGAAGTAACTCTTTCTTGGTTGCCAGAACACTGTTGCCTTGGCATGTTTTCCCAAGCTGTACAGTATATAATGGACAATCGCTGAATGCTCCCTTGAGGTAGGGCTGTGTTGGTGTGGCGTCCAAACGAAGTATGGCAGACGAAAATCACTCATCATGAAGCGAGAACAGACGGAAGCACGTCAGTAGCTCACGAACACAAATTCAATTATTTGTAAAGACAATCATGACCCTAAATGTGCTCTTAAAGCTGAAGACGTACTATAATACGTGATATAATGGAAAAGATATAGGCCATTTGGGAGAGAACCGCTTTTTGTGGGTGGTGATTTCTGACAGATGCTGTAGTTGAGCACAGACAAAAAGAAGAGGTCGTTGAGTGCTGTGTCGATCGGCACTGTGGCCACTTTTCAAAGTGTGTCGTTTAGGAAGTTATATGAAATCCAGAGATGCGGATCACGACTGGCACAAGTTCTTTCTTGATGTAGGAAACGAATGAGCTAACAATGGCGAGGGCAGAATCGAATCGCATAATGATGACTTCCTGTGCTCAAGGGATGTAGTCACAAAATCTTTGGTGTAGCAGACTTCCAAAATGACCGTACAAGAGAGCAATTTTGCTCCCTAAAAGCACATATAAAGAGCCCCAATGAGGAAGCGATGGAACGATTGCGAGTTGGGACTGCACAGGATGAACACATATATGGGACTGCGGACGAAGCAGTGCTTTTGTAAGGTGCTACTGTACAGATGTTCCTGATAGAATATTTAAACATGCTTGAGATTCATGCAAGAACAACTTAAGCTCTTGCATGAACTGCAATCAAAAAAGAATTGTAATGTTGCCTCGGAATGTAGACGTTGCCAATTCTGTGCAATGGAACACGTCTGAAGGTCGAGACATTGCGACTTTGCGTTCTCGGTTGCCCAATTATATGCGGCGACAAAAGGATGCAATATGTTCACAACAAATAATTATTGGGGTGGAACTGTTCCTTCTTGACTGAAGCGACGACAAATATTGTACGCGTTGTTTCCGCAAAAACGCGAAAAAAAAAACGAGTCGTAAGGACACCTTCTGACAGAGTAGGGGTGTACTTTCCAGATGACGTACTTAGTCATGGCCACCTTTATGTAGCCTTCTCACGTGTTCGCTCTCCAACAGGTTTGAAGGTAAACTGTCAGGCAGATCGGTGAAAATTGTTGTACATGACGAAGCGTTACTATAGGACCATACGCTTAGTACCTTCACATACTTACAAAATTTGAGAAATTTTTTTAGCAACATTTGCGTGAAGACCAGTTAATACTTTTTAACGATAACAACTCAGACAAATCACCGGAACTTCCGCAGGACAAGCCAGATTTGCAGAAGTTCCGCAGGATTTTGTTCACTATTGCAAAAAAGAAAGCCTTGAAAATCGGAAATTGCGCGGGATTTACATGTCAAACTGGTTGAAAACCGGAACTTCCGCAGAACCTTCTTCAAAATCCTGCGGAAATTCCGAAAGATGCCAGAGGTTCCGCAGCACTTTGGCCTGCGAGAACTTCCGCAGGACTTTGAATGTGTTGTCTCGTCATGTGGCCTCGCCAACAACCAGAGTGCATCATCGAACATGTCAGCCGTAGCGTAGAGGATAGTAGGTGGGTCTCACAGTCAATAGAGTGAGGTTCAAATCTCACTTCGGTGTTCACTTTTGTTGTTGTGGTTGGCATTTTTCGGAACTTCCGCAGGACCTCATTTCGGAAATTCCGCAGCACGTTTACGGAGCTTCCGCAGGTGACCCGGCGGAACTTCCGCAAACGCTCTGCGGAAGTTCCGGTGATTTGTCTGAGAATGAATATTTTGCAACTCCACATCAATACTTCCGGAGACGTCAGCCTTAATCAATCTTTGGAGAATGAAGTTCAAAATGGATAAACAATTCTATTCGCAAAAGAATCTCTTTCTCCAATTATGCATTATTGGTTTCAAGTTACGCAGCATTCTTGTACAAGGAGTCTACTCACTGTTTAACGTTCCAAAGTTCAACGTCTTACTTCTTCTACCGTTATTTTGCGACCTAACTATCTGCAAACGATTCGTTCAAAAGCAAGAAAGTGAGGTTTTTTCAAAAAAAATTCCGAGAGTCCGGCGGAAGCTGGAAGATTTCACTTGTCATTTATAAATCTCTGGTGTATTTATGATGATTTTATTGAGATCCTCATACCGCAAAATCCAAGTTTACAGAAATTGTCGTTTTCATTTCTTACCGTTTCGAGACCGTACCCATCATAGGCTTAGCTACATATCATTGTTTCATTGGTTTTTACTTGATGTCTTCATAGCTTCTTCCCTCTCTTCACCAGAGTTAGATACGTTTCTTGAGATCTTTGCGAAATTACCATCGGACAAAACGAGCCACCGGTGGGTCATCAATTTAACAGGATAAAAATGGTTCCGGTCCCACGTGGCAAAGGCAAAAAGTGCGTTAGTCGTGGAAGTGCTAAATCAACATTGGAAGGCTGTATCAAATTGATACTTAAGTGTAAGGCCAATTGTGCACGGTGGTGAAATTAGAGACCAATGGGAAGTACTTGGAAGTGAACAAAGGCTAATAAGCTGCAATGAGCAATGGTCAGGTACTTGAAATCGTTCGTATCATAAGGTTTGACAAATATATCCATATACAATATATCCAATGTCAAGAGTATGTACGCAATTCTCTTGGTAAGTTACGGTAGGATTACGGTAGTAACTGTGATAAGGAGATCGGGTCTTCGAAGGTCATATTTTGCCTCAAAAATGATTCAAACACTTTGAAAATTCCTACAACAAAGCTATATAGAACGAGTCTGCGTTTTATCGCAATCCGAAGTCCAGCTATACCGTAATAACTGCTTTCTCAAAGTCGACAGCACTTGGAGAAGATAGACGATCTAATAAAGGGAACTCTGGATTGATTTCTTATTTCTGATAACAATGTTATGAATGACAAAGGAAAATTATCTCGCTGTTTTATCTCCTTTCTCTTATTGTATAATTTTTTTATATATTTCAGTTGTCACTTTTTGCACTCTATGTATCTTCCCCCCCCTTTTTTTTGAGCCCGTCTTCCCCTCACATATCATGATGTGTGCTGAGATTGACTTGTACGTAAAGAAATGATAAACGACTGTCTAGCACTGACTTTGGCCGGCTTTCTTGATTCCCTCTCCATTAGACGTTGTTTTTCCTTCGCCGTGTACTTCGGCTTGCAAAGCCTCCTCTTCAATCGCCTATAAAACTCGCAAAACCTTTACAGAGCCGTAGAGGTTGATGTTTGAAAAATTAAAATGGTACTGACTTGGCACATCGGACAAAGGGTCGCGTCCAGGTTTTCAGCACAGTAGCGAGAAATTTCCCCAAATTTGCTATAGCGAGCATCGTGAAGGGCACGCCCACTAGGCCGTACAGTATAACAAACAATCGCCCGTTGAATGAACGCGGAGCGACATTACCGTAACCTGAAATACACAGTATCGATTGGAGACTGACCAATCAAAGCGGGATTCACTCACCAATCGTTGTTATCACAGTGAAACAAAACAATACTGAATCCATAAGTGACCAGTATTCATAGACATCATCATTTTCATCCGTAAGATTTCCACTGCCTTTTTTTCCTTGCCTTTCTGGAAATTTGCCAAGATCTAATACTAGTACGGCTGAGCTTTACTGGCTTATTGTTGGTTTCCTGAGCAAGTGAGGGGCAATTGTCTTCGAAAGCGATAAATCTGGCTAAATACGCCCGCCGGGAGATTACTGAGGGCAACATACTTCATAAGGAAGCCGCCATTTATGAGACACTACTTATTCTCTGTTCTTCTAGTGCAAAATTGAGAAAAATGGGTTTTATGGCTTTAAAGTGCATAGAAGATATGTGAGGCTTTTCCCGAGCTGAACAAAGGGGTTTAAAAATCTCAAAAATATACCCTTAGCAAGTCCCTACGATTCCTAACAAACTCGTAGAAGGTTCGCCTAAAAAGCAGAAAAACAAGCGCCATATTCTGACAGCAGAAAATCAACGACATGGATTAAACGTCTAGCGCTCACCTTCTCCCTTTTGCTCTCGGGAATCCGCTGATAAACGGCGTAAATCGTGTTTATAGCATTCATCCAGCCAGGCAAGATGAGAAATGTCAAGTTGTTGCGAACAATTCGATGCTTTTTCCAACCGTCGCAGAGCAGCTAACACACATTTTCGAGTTCGATTTACTGAAAATAAAAATTATTGAAAAATTGAAACTGGACCGAAAACAAGCGCAAATTTTTTTAGACCTATAAACAAAAGCGTTATGAAACAATAGAACAAGTATAATGTCTTGGCGGTAGTCCAATTTCGAGAAACATCCAAGATAATTCTAAAACTTACTCAAGATGAGATTCTTGAATAAGACAAAAAATAAAATATACATAGCAAAAAAAGAGACATAAACATTCGTCTTATGGTTTTATGGAATCCTAGATATCTTTAGGAAGAAAGCGCAGCAAATTTTTTATACTACATAATTCTTATGATTTATATGTCTTCTATGTATGTTTTAAAATCCATGCTTTGCTAACACTGAATTGCTAAAACAGATGATTTTGTCAGATTAGCCAACGCGCCTCTCCTCATCAGCAATGAAAATGTAAAAAAAAACGATGGTGATTGATGATTTGAACGAAGACAACATTCTCAAAGGAATTCGTAGAAAGAGTTCTTCCTAATGTGAGATCAGAAAAGCGATGTCTGATGCTACAATCATCTTTGGTGATTGACGAAAAATTTACCGTAGAAAAAATATAGCCAATCTAAACTTCAAAATTTAGCATTCAGAAGCCAAATGTATGGTGGCGCGGATGCGGATAGTTTGTTAGGTGACCGAAAATATACTTTTAAAGTGAAGAAAGAGAAATAACACATAAAGAGCATTGACATCATTTTGTAAGAGTTAAAAACCGGCGCACAGCTAAAGCGCAGAAATTTAATACAGCCAAATTTTTTTGCTCTGCAATTTCAGCTTACATCCTGCAAAATTAAAAAAAGTGATTTTGTATAGACACAATTAAATAATCTATTCGAATCGAGGTTTCCGTACATACGTCTAGTATATTTTTATCAAAAGAAATAACTCAAAAAAACTTTAATTAATTATTATTCAGAAAAAAATTCCTTCAAATATGTCGTTCCGTCAAAATTTTTCGCTTCACTGCATGTTCTTGAAAAGCAAACTTCCAGGTGATGATTTTTTGAAAGCCCATCTTTATCTTCTATGATTTTTTACCCCATGAATTCACCTCTCGAAGAACTTTGCGCGCGAACATAGGCACTGGAAAGCAGTCAGTAATCTTCCGCCAGTGTTCTCCCTATGGTCAGGGCAATGTCGGATTTGACAAATAGCCTTCATCAATTGCAGGGTGGATGTTCAGTATTGAGCGCTGTTTTTACGAGCGGACCATTTTTAGCATAGGACATTGTTAGGATGCAAAAGCTCGAGCTCATAGACGAAAGAACTCGTGATGTCAGCAAATTTTTTTAAAATTCAGTCAGGGGTGGCTAATTTGAACACCGGAAATGTGAAGTATCCTGAGACGTTTGCCCGACATAAGGCACGTGGATTTATCAAAAACTGGTAGATCTGTAGAGAAATAAACAAGATTAGTTCTTTCTAAAGCAATGTGATGGATACAAGGAAACAATGAGAAAAAGATTACATAAATAAGAGAAACCGTTACAAAGAAAAACCATGTAAAATTTGATTTAAGGCATCTTTTCAATGCAAAGTTAAGGAAAGTTGAAAACAAAATTTTCTAAAATAAAGATCTGGAAAATTTAGTAGTTTTCGAGTTTCACTCACAACACTTACAGCCGATTTTTTTTCATTTTTTGGTTGTCGAGAAGTTGTGCGTGAGAGTTTTTTTGGGAGGGGGGAAGGGGAAGAGCGGCTGTGAAAGGAGATATGTAGTGTTAGGTTCAGAAAAGGTATCGTCTTCAAAAGTCAGCTGTTGACATTTTTATTGGATATTTATATAGCAGTGATCGTGAAAAAAAAGATTTTGGAACATTTGGCTATTCTGCTGCCTGGAAGCCAACAATCATACGACTCAAAGGCATCGTAACGGCATACGGTAGCTACTCGCGCACTATTTTTGCCGGTGAAGCAAAAGACAGTAAGATATGATAACATTCAGAATTCCAAATAGCAGCGAACCAAAAATGATCTTTTTTAAGAATTTGACCGAGACGGATAGATCTGCAACGCTTATTCGATAATCGGTGTGGAAATCGAACTCTGGATCCAATCTAACAAAATTGAGCTTCCAATCGAATTGTATTTAGATTTGCAGCCTGCGCATTGATCTCCGAAACGTGTTCGTCGACTCTCCTCCTCTCCCCCCCCCCCCGCCTACCTGACAAATTTATAAAGGACTCACATGCGTTATGCCGAACCTCATGTGCTTCTCGTCTGGAGCGACTTCCCTGGAAGCAAATACGTGATTTTGGAATAAAGCCAATTTCTGAGAAGTTGCAAACCTCGGCGATTCGTTGTGGAATGGCTTCAATCTCTCGGATAGTGAATGCACCAGCTATGACATATACAGCCACAGCTATCACCATCGCCAAATGGATCGCATAGGGAGCGAGCTGTAATTAAATTTTTTTACAGGGATTTTTCTTTACGGTTAAGTTATCCCCTTCCTTGGAATATTGGGCCTTTTTTTAGATAAGTTCCGCTTTTGGCCTCTGATTGTGAGTCTCTGCAAAACAGAGAGCAAACTTCACCACTAGTTGCAGGGCGAACAGCCACCGATTTGCCAAAATCGGTGACAGCCGTGTCCGGGGGCCAAGTGGCGGGGTTCACATTCGTGTCATTGCGTCACTCAATTGGTCCCGTTATGGGATTTGTTCACAAACCCCCGTAGGACACAATTCATCGCTTCAGCCCCGGCGATGTGTTCCCCCATCGTCCCCGGCCGACACTCGACGTATAGTTAGTTAGGCCCTTGATTGAGCTGTGAGCTGTGCTGGACTGGACACTCGGGGGCAAAATGTGATAAATTGAATTCTGCCAGAAGTGCTTAGAGAAATTTGCTGCTGGAAAAAGTACGAAAAGCATGGGATAGGGGAGAAATTTGATTTTTGAATGCACATAAATTGAAATGACGTTGTAAAACAATTTCCGCTTTTAGTTAAAGGATTATAGCTACCTCAAAGAATTTGAATCCTCAGAGATATTTCTTGCGTCTTGTTAGGAAAATATCTGGGAAAGATTGTCTGCTAGGTTTTATATCAATGTTTATATGTTTGCTATCGTGCACAGCATTCAGCCTACTAGGGGTACATTTTTTTGGGGAGGAAATAAATTGAGTTTTCGTTTGAGGACCAACCACACTTTAACAGGTCAAAATGAAGAATTTGGCAAACTCTCTTTTTCATCAAAAAAAATTTTAGGGAATATTTATTTGGAAATAGGAGAAGTGCTTTGGTACACAAAGAACTTCTGCTACTGCAAAAATTCTTTGTGTACCATGGCAGTTCTTATATCTCCAAAAAACACCCGCTAGAATTTTTGATGGGAAACGAAAGCATTCGTCATTCAAGAAGCGAATGGTATCACTTGACGATGAGAATAAAGGAAGGAAAAATCTATTGACGGCTTTTTTGCCATGATACAGTGTCAAAAAAGTGGAGAATAAAAATTCCGCATTCTTGTGAGTGTAGGCTGTGTAAAATTCCAACCAAAAAGTTCTGAAAAAATATAAAAATAAGATATTCACAATTTACAGTAAACTTTTGGGCACAGTAGTGAGTTCTGGATAGGATAACTTACCCTTGTCGGTTGCTTTTTCCTCAGAACAAAGAAATAGGAAAACATGTGCGAATGCTAATAGATCTGCCAGACACTGCAGCTAGTGTTGAAAACCTCCGGTAATGAAATTATGTTGCGCAACACTTTGGATAATTCTAGAAAGTTTGTTTTGTTTTTCGTTTCAGGAGAGGAGCATGCTAGGCTAGTGGTCAGCTAAAAAATTACAGACACTCTGAAATTCCATTTTTCCATTGTTTTCACTCCTAAACAAGCTTACTTCTCAGTAGATGAGAAATAAGTTTTACAGACCCTCCTTCCTTGCTGAGGAGTTCCGGGGAAGGTCTGTAATCACTTTTAGTTCGTCTAAAGACAGGAACGAAACAAAGCTTCGTGGTTATTGCACATGGAGTGTCAAAAGTTTCTTATTATTAATATTCAGTAGCAAATATTAGAAGTTCAAATTATGAGGAAACTTTCGATCTTGAGGTTCCTTTCCTCTCTCCCAAGAAAGACTGTAAAAAATGGAAGATTCCAGATTAACAGATTTTTAATTTTGACAGTGTTACTGTTTTGAAATACCAAAATAAGACAATTTTCCGGGAGAAAAGGTAGAAAGGATGCTGGCCGATGGACTACTTTTCTACTGCTCTTCGAAATCGTTGCAAATATAATTTAGCAATTTGGTGACATTTTTTGAAGGGTTACGGTAGTAGGAACCAAATCCGACGGAGCGGCATGACTAAACTGAATACATCTCTGTTTTTTTTCAATTTGCATCAACCGACTACAATATATCAAACATGATTCCCCGGAGAATCTTCTCAGTTCTCTCGAGTACCATTTTTTTTCTCTTATCTCAACCAAAAAGACGAATCACAGTTAATTGAAGATGATGTTCCCGAGAGAAACTTGGCTATTTCCCCGCGGGATCGATTCGTTCGTCATCGTGATTTTCTCACCTTTTCGAGGTCGATTTTCTTGTTTGATACGTGGGCGCTTCGGGAGTGAAAAACCATGTCTGTATATATCACCCCTGGAGACTCGACCGACACTGACTGCTCTCTCACACTCGACAATCAAAGCCGGAACGCAATGCGATGGACGGCGAAGTCATCAGTGCAAGAGCGAAAACAATGTATTGGCGAAATAAGACAGAGATAGATTCGAAATTGCGTTAGCATAGAGCACGAGCAAAGAACTTCGCCGAGAAGTACAAAAGATTAGCGAAAATGATGACTTGCAAGAAATTGTGAAGTAGAATAGTGTAGCATGCTTAGCGGGCGTGAAGTTTAGGCTGACAAGACTACGGTATGAATACCGTACTCAAATTGCGAATACATATCACTTTAAAAGCAACGCCAGTGAAGAGAGTTGGGCTGAGAAATTGCATATAGAAGGCTAAAAAGAAGTTCTGTTCCAATTTCACTTAGGAAATTATTATATGATTATACCGCTTCAATTTTTTCCAAAAATGATCAGCCTGACCTTCTGCAAAATACAAAATTAAAACAGCTAGAGCTTCATTTATTATACAGATATGAACTTCTGTTCCATTTTCATACGAATTTGAACCTAGAGAGTTTTGCTCTATAATTAGATTGAAAAAAAAACAAGGCAGTATTTTTTCTTGGGTCAAAAAATGAGCTTTAGATTGTTTTCATCAAATCCCAGATAGATTCAGGAGTTTATGCTTATTTTCATAGTTAGCATGAGAGTGACCATGGGAAAGAGGGAAAATCGAATGTTCATGCCAAATTAACTCCTTCTTCATCCGCGAATTACAAGATTGAGAGATTTCGAAATGGTAAAATTAGAATATTTCATTGGAAAGCAATAGATGATAGTTCACTCTAAAAAATTATTCCACAACTAATTTTGAAAACTCGATATAACAGAGTACAGGGACGATGAGCGAAAGCGCCGTTTTTGAAAAAGTAATATTTTCTTTGAATCTAATACTTCTTATGTACTGTACATGATGCTTTGATATACATGATGGGCTGTAAGCGATTACTAAAAATGTTCAAAAAAACATGACAGCCTCTCTAAACTTTTTGCAGAAAAGTGAAAAAATCTGAAAAAACAATGAATTATTGCGCAGATAAGATGACGTTATCAATATCTTCTCAACTCCTAGCTCAAATTACGATGAAACCGCTTAGAGATTTTTTAAATGTAGCCTTCCAGACATGCTTGAGTTATTGACCGCCAGATTGAGGTTTAAGCAGATAAAGCAGAGTCGCTGCAAAAGACTAGCAACGAGAAGTCTCCTAGAAAAAGCTCTGTTTGGCTTTGAAAAATGAAAGCAATAGACTACACAAGTGAGATTTATGGTGCAGCAGTGAAGTGATTCGGAAGGAAAACATCGGAAAATTTCCTCTTTGCACTTGAGTTTTTAGGGCAATAGCTCACAACTCCGAATGGCTGCAGGTGCTCATAATGGTGACATTAGATTTTTGCTAGTATGACAGCTGGTTAAAGGCTTGGATGCGGCGATCAATACAAAGTTTTTAAGTTCAAAATTCACCTTAGAAAAGTATCGTTTATATATTAGGGTTCTCAACGCATTAACAATGACTGGACTCAAAAATATTTGTTCAAATTTTTTTGCAGATCCCGGATAACATAAATGTTAGCAAACGCGAACTGCATGTTTGTTCTTTTGCTAACATAAATATTTGTTGGAATCGGTATAGAAAATTTAAATTTTACATAAAGAAAAATTATTACAATTAAAAACTGCTGAGAAGGATTTTGTAAACAGCAATCAAAGATGGTAAAAAAATTGTAAGCCAAGCAAAGTTGTTCATCAAATACAGTCCTAACAGATATTGAAAAGAGTGGATCTCTTTGTTTACAAATTTTTTATCAATTTTTATTCTGCAGAAAACTTCTTGGAACTGACAGTAAAATATTTGAGAAATTTCTACATTTGTCCGCAATGTTGTTATTGATAGAGATGATCGTATAAAATGCTGAGATCGACAAGTATTTCAATTTGATTTTTTGAAAAAATGGCTACGAGCTTCTAAAAACATCGTTCTCAATAAGAGTCTCATTAGAAAATTCAAAAATTGATCAGATCTCTATTAGACGTTTATATTTATTTAGGTGAGTACAATTGACGTTACGATGTATACAAGAATCGATTCAAAAGAGAAGGGCAAAATGATAAAGAAAAAATTAAAAACAGAGGTTTTCCTGGTATAATCTTTTGATTTATTATGAAATCTAATAACTTTTGGGGAAAAACGAAAAAGTAAAAGTAAAGGCTTTCATCAGGAAAGCCCGCTTCAGAGAGTCTCAAGAGTTCGTCAGATTGACATTAGGATAAGACCAAGCTACTAAAAGCTCAAGGTTACTCTTCCGACATTTGAGAGTTCGAAAAAACAAGTCCAATAAAGAATAGATGAAAAATAATTTGTCAAGGGGTTTGTCAAAGGATGAACATGACATCTAGAGAGCGATAAGAGCCTTTTCGAGAGGAAGCTTAAAGCTCTGGACTTTTCCAAAAAGTGTAAAATAAAATTCAAAGATAAGCAAAAATTATTCTTAATAAGGCTATAATAACCCCAAAATTATTATAAACAGATTTTTTTCTTGAATATCGTTGACTAAATGGTATAGATAACTCATGAAATGAGCGTTTCTCTAAACTATTGTCTGCAAAAAAATCTGTAGCACTTGTTTACATTGATTCTCTTACAGAAGTTGAATTTCTGGGAAGTAGGCACCTGCTGTTTGAAATTAAGCTTCAAGGGAAAAAGAAGAGAAGAAAATTGGCGATTGTGTTGTATTCGAACATTGTTCACAATCTGTGCAAAAAATCGTACTGATGATGTACAAATTATCCCAACAGAAATTCGGCGGCTCACGATAGTATCTCAAATTTCCTAAGATTAGAAAATTTCAGAAAAGCCAAAATCGATAGCTGCACCTAAAAGCCGGAAGACGAAAGAAGTTAGCAAGCATTGAGACGAGAGCATCTGGAAATATATACAAAGGCAAATTAACATTCAAGAAAATCCCACAGTGTTGACAGGAAAAAAAGGAAAACAAGAAAAGCGAACAATTGGAACCCCATTACTCGTTCAAAAACGTTCGAAAAATCTCAAATTAGTAAAATTTCCCGTTTTAGACTAGTCAAAGTCCAAAAGCGGGGTCGAACGTCGGGTTATCAAATTCTGAAAAGGATGCTGCGCAAGTGTCACGCCCATATCCGAGAGTCCTCGCTCTTTGACGATGTTAGCAGGGCACAATGACGGGGGCAGGGATCATTCCCGGAAGCAGAAGCTAAAGAGTGTAATGCGCGCTTAAATAAGGTCCCAAAAGATCAGCAAAGGTTACTGTAGCTACACTGTAAGAGTACGATAAAACTGAAGCAGAAACATGTTGACGTTAATAAAGGAGACACGAAAAAGGTTATGGGGGATACAAAATTGTCGGTTTGCCATGTGACTGAATGAGACTACGGTTAGCTATATCATAAGTGCTACTGTAGCTATACTGTAGATCTAAGTTAGGTGAATAGCCAGGAAAAAATTGAGGCGTCAACGGATATACAATAAAAGTGCGTTTTTCAGTTAAGAACATAAAGCTAAATAGTAGAGTATGACTGTACATGGCTACAGTAGTTAGTAGTAGCTGTTACTGTAGCTATACTGTATAACTACGACAAGTGACTAGACAAAAAACACGCCGAACCTTCAACGAGATTAAAGATAAAATTGTGTTTTTTTGCGTTTCACAAACAATGTAAAGCTATCGCGGACGGACTAGAAGGGGCACTGTCGATTTACTGTAGATTTTACCGCAGCGATACTGTAAGATTACGGTAGCGAATAAGCAGGGGATGTTGACGCTGCAACGAAAACACGGATAAGACTGATGTTGTTGCTTCTCAAGAGCTGTATAAAGGTGTCGCTTACAGTACTGGGGCCACGATCATTGATCTGTCAACGTCACTGTAGCTATACTCTGAAGATACGGTAAGTGGCTGACCAAACGAACATCACAAATTTCAAAGGAAAAGATGATTTTCTGCACTCCAAAGTTATGCGGCCATTCGATACGCAACTGAATGACCAGTATACTTTAGATATTACTGTAACTATATTGTAATTATAGTAGCATCTACACTGTGCGGGTATACGGTAACGCTACGGTAAACTCTCCAATAAGCATGTTGAAGCTTAGACGAAAACACGATCAAAACTGAAGGGCGTTCTGAGATGTTTAGAGCAGTCGAGTAGAATCTGACTGACACTAAAACTGCGGTCAATACACTGTAGATGATACTGTAGATACTGTAAGACTACGGTAGGTGGATAACCAGGACGTATCAAAGCTCCAGCGGAAACTAAAATTGTCATTCTCACTTTCTATGAGGAATATAAAGCTATCGCGTACAACGTGACTTAATAAGGCTGTACTGTAGGATTTACGCAGCTGTAAACTGACTACGGTAAGTGGCTCACCAAAAAACTGCAACTATACTACAATATGTGCTTGTCTGAAGCATCACTTTGAAAATAAATAGAACGAGGTTTTTGGGTTGTTATAGCCAAAAACGAGTACATCTCGACTAGATAATGTCAGGTTCACATTAATGTAGCTATACTGTAAGGGTACGGTAGGTTGCTGGTCCAGCTAGGTTGAAACTTCAAAGGCAACACGAAAACGCGTAAAAACTGTTGAAACTTCAGAAGCAACACGAAAGCGCGTAAAAACTGAGGCTTTTGCTGCGCCTCAACACTTGCAAAGCTACAGAATGACACGTGACTGAATAAGGCCACAGTTGGTATACTGTAAATGTTACTGTAGGCATACTGTAGATCAAATCAAGCGAATAACAACGCGCATCAATACTTCAACGAAAATTTGTAAAAAACAAAATTTTCGGCATTCTGCAAACTTAAAGCTATTTTTGTGGTTTGACAAACCTTAGCTCTTCATGCTAACGAAAACGAGCTGAGTAACATACAAATCAGCAGTCAGAAGGCCCTTTCGTCAACACCCACACCCACCACACAGCCGAACCGAGCAACGACATCGAGCATAGCATCTTCAAGTGACGGATATGCCAGCTAGCATACCAGATATCATAAGGGTCATAAATGTGG